TTGTCGTCAGAAACATGTTTTGTTGTGCTGTTTGAAAGTCTCTTCACACTCCAAAAGTACTGATTAAAGTAAATGATCTTAATGTGTTTATATGTATTTTTATATTCTGGGTAAGGCATAAAATTAAAAAATGTTCATCCAATTAAATATTGTCGGGCGGACTCCCATAATTCCGATAAGTAGCCAAAACTGTCTGTCAGCAAATGTAGATTTGAACTAATGCACAGCCATTCACGCGCAGATTTCCGCGTGAAATAAAGTTTGTGCGTACACGCACTGCAGGTTCATAAGAGAGTCGAGGGAGGGAGAGAGAGAGAGAGAGAGAGAGAGAGAGAGAGAGAGAGAGAGAGAGAGAGAGAGAGAGAGAGAAAGCGCTAGCGGTAAAAAAATGCTGAATCAAAACTTTTTAAAATCCTGAATCATTATTGGAGTTGGGCGAGGCAGGGTTGCAGTGGGTAGTGCTGTCACCTCACAGCAAGAAGGTCGCTGGTTCGAACCTCGGCTCAGTTGGCGTTTCTGTGTGGAGTTTGCATGTTCTCCCTGCCTTCGCGTGGGTTTCCTCCGGGTGCTCCGGTTTCCCCCACAGTCCAAAGACATGCGGTACAGGTGAATTGGGTAGACTAAATTGTCCGTAGTGTATGAATATGAGTGTGGATGTTTCCCAGAGATGGGTTGCGGCTGGAAGGGCATCCGCTGCATAAAAAATTGAATAAGTTGGCGGTTCATTCCGCTGTGGCGACCCCGGATTAATAAAGGGACTAAGCCGACAAGAAAATGAATGAATGAATGAATTATTTACATTTGCACACTGAACAAAAGACAACACCATGGCTGAAGTATTTCTGTTAGACGGGTAATGTTCTGTTTTAAAACTACTTTAGCTTCACACGGAGCTGATGTAGATGTTGTTGTTGTTACGAATGGGTTATATGCACAGAAGTGTTGTTCAGCAACTGAAATCTTCCGGCGTAAAACTGATGTGACTATTTTCAGTTTCATAAGGACCTGTGACAGCATCAATGATGTAGATTTTTATTTAGTTTAACAACAAAACATCAGTAAATAGCGCTATTCCGCCTAGCCTGCTTTACTGAGCTGAAGTTGGTTTTGTATTTACATAGGTTCATTTTTGTACAATGAGGACATGTGATTCGCTCCCTATATTTACCATGCTGCTCTAAATATTCACTCTGAAATAGCATGTAAGTATGGTTTAGTAATAAGCGTAATTCCTGCACGGTGTGTGAGGGTTCTGCTGTAATCTTTAAGGTGTGCATGCTCATATTTCAGAAGGCGTGGCTTTGGACGGCAGGCGTGGGACTGTGTTTCAGAGATTTATGCTAGCCGGTTAGCAAATTACCTACTTCACCTTTAAGGCCTGTAACTATATGAACATTTAAAATATTTAGACAAAAGAAACTGTACTATTTGTAATTATAATAAACATACATTTATTTAAATTAGCAGTACAATAAAGACTATGCACTGTTACTTTATATCTGGTTAATATATTACACAGTTGAAGTCAAAACTATTAGCCCTTCTGTGATTTTTATTTTATATTTCCCAAATGATGTTTAACAGGAATTTGTTCCACAGTATTTCCTATAATATTTATTCTTCTGGACAAAGTCTTATTTGTTTTTATTTCGGCTAGAATAAAAGCTGTTCTTAATTTATTTAAAACCATTTTAGGGTCAATATTATTAGGGTTGGGTAGCGAAACCCGGTGCCATTATAGCACCGGTATCTTTGTAACCGGTATGTACCAGATCAAATCAGCATATGAATTTCGGTGCCTAATTTCGGTGCCACTGGTGCTGCGAAGAGGACGAAAGAAGCAAGGGGTGCATCAAAGGCACACATAGGCGTTGTGTCACACCATCTGTAAACATTTCATTCTAAACAACTTTAAGGAACACGGATAGGCATGTCAGGAGATTGATATCGTCGCTTGGGGAACGGACGCACGCAGTACATTCAGCCTGGTTTTCGGGGAGCGAGAGCGAAACTCTACAGTTTAACACGCATGATCACGTTCATCAAATTTGTTTAAACCAAGCATTCTAAAGTGTATTTTACAAGCAAGGACTCTGTTCCAGCAACGTGCTTTACAAAATTTGCATGTAAGGGGGAAACATGTCAAACTTAATGACACATTTGAGAGCTCAGAGAGGCAAAGGAATGCCTCTCTCGCTACCTCGGGCACTCACTCCCTCTGTTTTCGCAGCACTTGCTCTCTCCAGTGCTGTGCGCATCAGTTCCCGGCATTCGTCAGAAGTTGACACAGGTCATATAAAAAAGATAAAACTTCAGTCATGTTAATGTTGTGAAACACTATCGAAATATCTACAGTTGATGATATCAGACTTCCGTTTACAATAGCGATTTTAACACTGTTAATATAGTAAGTCTTCAGCTATGCAGAGACTTGTATTAATCAGAAATCTTGTGTACATAGTTTTACGTTAGGAAATGCAGTACTGAATTTACAAACAGTCGGCAAGTACCAAAGAACAGATGTAAGACATTGATCAAATGTAGTTTTCAGTCATGCTCATATAAGTCATATTCAACTGGTTTAGTTTTGCCTTCATTCATTTTTGATTTCCGTCTTCAACACATGATTTATTTACAACACATTTTAAAACATGAGTTTAACTAACTCATTTCTAATATCTACTTTTTTTTATCTTCCCCATGGTGACAGTCAGTGCAGAACCTTTTACTAGTTATTTTGCAGACAGTTGTATTTAGACGAAGTCCCTTTAATTATTTTATAGTCTTTTATTAAGATTAAAGTGTGATTCAAAGACTTAATCAGTTAACTACAAAAGTTTAAATAATTAGTCAAATGATTTTGTAACTGATTTGTTGTGTATATCAAGAATATACAGTAAATATTTCTTAAGGAGGCTAATAATACTGACCTTATTTTTATTTCAATTTAAAACAAACTGCTTTTAGTCACAAAATAAGCAATAAGAAATAGGACTTATGACTCCAGAATAATAATTTTTTTAGGAAACACTGAAAAAGTTCAAAAACATTATTTTAAATGAATGGGAGGACAAAATAAATTCTGTTAAAGTTTACAGGAGCAACAATGTGCCTTGATGTACTTGAATGTTAGAAATCCTACACCAGTACAACTTTACTGGTCAAATAAATGAACAAGGAAGATTATTTTGAGTTTAAGTTATTTAATTATCTTGTTTATGAAGACTGCAGAGTGATGCATGAAAAAAATGACTGAATAATTTTTTTAAGCGTTTTGTGATATATATATATCACCCCCCCCCCCCCCCCGCCCACACACACACACACACACACACACACACACACACACACACACACACACACACACACACACACACACACACACACACACACAGGTAAATAGTAAGTTAATGTAATTTTATAATGCAAATCTTAAACTCATGCAAACCAACAAATGATCAAAGGAGATATATTAATTTAATTCAAATATATAAATTATGAATTGATGTTTACTTTAAACTTTAATTATATTGTTCTATTAAAATTATTTTTTAAAAGATTTTGTTGAATAAAAGATTTTTCCAGAGTCATCCACCATAATTTTGTGGCTAAAAAGCATCGATTCAGGCAACGTTTTGGCACCAGTATCGTTTTAAAAGTTTCGATTTAGCACCGGTATCAAAAAACCCCAAACGATAACCAACCCTAAATATTATTAGCTCCCTTAAGCATATTTTCTTTCGATTGTCTCCAGAACAAACCACTGTTGTATAATGACTTGCCTAATTACCCTAATGAAGCCTTTAAATGTCACTTTAAGCTGAATACTAGTATCTTGAAAAATATCTAGTACAATATTATGTACTGTCATCATGGCAAAGATTAAATAAATTAGTTATTAGAAATTAGCTATTAAAACTATTGTTTGGAAATGTGTTGAAATCACAAACAAAATGATAAATGTATTTACAGGATTTCTAACTCCAGTTTCCCTTCATTGAATATTTCCCAATTGTTCTCGGTTATGTTTCGAATGCAAGGTATTGGCACAGTCATGCATGTTTTTTGGGACTGTGACAAAATTAAAATGTCCTGGAAAGAGATTCATAAAATTATTCAAACATAACTGGAAAAACATTTTCTTTGTCCCCAAAGGTATACCTTCTAAATTGTACAGTGGGATTGTGTCTTGATTTTTAAAAGAATGTGTATTACATTTTTGGATATAATTGGCCAAAAAATGTATATTATTTTTATGGTCAACTGCTCAGATACCTTCAGTCAATATGTGGCTAAGTCAGGCGACTACACGTTTACCACTGGAAAAAATAACCTACGATTCCATCAGAGATCTGAGGTGTTCTGGTGCATTTTGTCCTCCCTCTGGAGATTTCTTGAGAGTACTCAGTGACTGTGTCTTTCTAAATTTGTTTTTTTATTTTTTTTATATTTCTGTCTTCGCTTTCACGCATTTAAATGTTGTACAAAAATTACTGTATTTGTTGTAAAAAGAGGGTGACGCAGTGGCGCAGTGGGTAGCACGTTCGCCTCACAGCAAGAAGGTTGCTGGGTCGCTGGTTCGAGCCTCAGCTCAGTTGGCGTTCCTGTGTGGAGTTTGCATGTTCTCCCTGCGTTCGCGTGGGTTTCCTCCGGGTGCTCCGGTTTCCCCCACAGTCCAAAGACATGCGGTACAGGTGAATTGGGTAGACTAAATTGTCCGTAGTGTATGATTGTGTGTGAATGAGTGTATGTGAATGTTTTCCAGAGATGTGTTGCAGCTGGAAGGGCTTCCGCTGCGTAAAAACTTGCTGGATAAGTTGGCGGTTCATTCCGCTGTGGCGACCCCGGATTAATAAAGGGACTAAGCCGACAAGAAAATGAATGAATGAAATAAAAAAAGAAATTTTTCTCCCTAACCCTTAAAATACAGCTAAAGTACATAAGCAGATCTGATAATTATTAACATAAAGAATTAAGCAGAAAACTGAAAAGAGTCTCACCGTAGGGCGCATCCACTCCACATCTCGGGTTTTGGAGGAGTGCGGGGCGAGCTCTTTGAAGCCCAGAGAGGGCGGTTCGGCGGGGAAACAGGGGTCTTCAAACAGGTAGCCTCCCTCTAAACACTCCTGTCTGAGGGCCTCGTAGTCCTGGTTCTGGAAGTGTAAAGCCTGCTCAAAAGAGCCTGCGCCATCCGCCTTCAGTCTGTTAGCGCTGATGTGTGCTGAGATCCCGCCGTATGAGAACATGCTGGAGCCGTGAGATGCAGAGCTGCTATAAACACTGATTCACACACACTCAACATTTAACACTGCAAAATCATTTGTTGTGCCTTTGTTTTTTGGCATTAAAGGGGACCTATTATGCAAAAATCACTTTTATAAGGGGTTTATACACAGTTGTGTGGCAGAAGTGTGTGAATATAACCAGCTTCTAATGGTAAAAAATGTATCAATACAATTTTTTAATCACATTTCATAAAAACAGTCTGCAGAAACACTTTGATTGACATTCCTTCTTCATAGATGTCATCAGAGGCTGAAAGCCCCGCCCATTAGTGATGAGCTCTCCCTCATTAGCATAGACAACCCTGAGTGAGAAGCAGCCATCCGCCATTAGTTTTAGCAAAGTAACTTTTAGCACTGGACTGCCTTCTTCTGAGACACTTCTTTTGACATTTTCAGGTTTTTCATAGAGATAACATTGGTCCTATTTTGGATCTGCTGCTAAGCAAGTGTTTGTAGCTCCGCCCCTTTTTTGAAAAGAGCAAAATCTCATTTGAATTTAAAGCAACAGTGACCAAATTTGCACAATTCGAATCAAATCCTAAAAGGGGTAGTTTCAAAGAATTATAAAACATTATTTGTGGGGTATTTTAAGCTGAAAGTTTCACATACACGCTCTAGGGACATCAGAGACTTATATTACATCTTGTAAAAATGGGCAAAATAGGTACCCTTTAAGGGCATTGCATTTAATTTTGTAGTAATAATAATAGTACTACTAATAATAAACTTTTTATTATTTTTATATAGCGCCTTTAAAAGTAGCATCTCAAGGTACTTTACAGACATAAAGTGTACAGCAATAGAAGACACAAGGATAAATACAAAATACAAAAGTAATAAAAATTATTAACAACACAAAATAATAATAATAATAATAATAATGGATCTAAAAATCATATAAAAGTCAAATAAAATCAAGTGAAAGCTACCCTAAAAAGTAAGTTTTAAGAAAAGAATTAAAAATACTCAGAGATTCTGCATTTTTAGTTTAGTTTTTTAGGGAACTTTTTACTTTTAGTTTGCTGCAGTTTGTGCCTAAATTGACAAGCTAACATTATGCAGCTTTGCAAAACAATTAAAAGCCCATAACAAACAGAATTGTTGGTTCTCTGGATTTTCCATTAATGGGTAAGTTAAATTTCAAATAAGAAAATCATTATCATATTTAGCGCTCAGCTTAAACAAGTACACCCCTCACAAATCTCTCTTTTAAATTGATATTTCCCATAAGATGCTTTACAATAATGCATTTGTGCACATACAACACAGAACCAAAGACAAAACTGGAGCTAATCAAAGACATGCGCTATAGATAAATTGGGTAAGCTAAATTGTTCATGGTGTATGTGCGTGAATGAAAGTGTATGGGTGTTTCCCAGTTATGGGTTGCAGCTGGAAGGGCATCCACTGCATAAAACATATGTTGAATAAGTTGGCTGTTTATTCTGCTGTGGCGACCCTTGAATAATAAAGGGACTAAGCCGAAAAGAAAATGAATGAATGAATCAATGAATGAATGAATGAATGAATGAAAAATGTTAGGTGACCAAATTCTTGGGCAAGTTGGCATTTCTGTGTGGAGTTTGCATGTTCTCCCCGTGTTGGCGTAGGTTTTCTCCGGGTGCTCCGGTTTCCCCCAAAGCCATAGAACACGTGCTATATAGGTGAATTGAATAAGTTAAATTGGCCGTAGTGTACGAGTGTGTGTGTGAATGCGAGAGTGTTTGGGTGTTTCCCAGTACTGGGTTGGGGCCAGAAGGGCATCCGGTGTGTAAAACATATGTTTTACAAATCTGTGGCGACCCCAGATAAGGGACTAAGCCGAAAAAAAAAATGAATGAATGTTTTGTTTAAATTTACCAAAAAATATTGCCCATATTGTCAGAGAAATGGATGAAAATATTCATTTTCAAAAGGGGGTGTCGTATTCATTTATGCTGAGCACTGTAGACAGCCATAGAAAAATTAAAGGCCACTTAAAAATTCTAATTTTCTGCAGATTAAGTAAAGCATATTTATTTATTCTGTGAACAACTCACATTTCTTTAAATTTAAAAAGAAAATGTTGTCATTTGAATATAAAAAGTTTTCTGCATTCTACACAACAAAAGGTGAACCCCCCCCCCCCCCAAGTTCCTTATGAGTTTTCCCGTTTTTATTTGTATTTAATATTTTTCTATAACATATAAATTTGTGTGTACTAGTTTTTGGACCGTTATCGTATGTTTTTTTTGTTAAATAAGCTCCAGCTATGGTAATCTATCATATACGCACAAATATAATATTGCATTGCTTCCTATTAAAAATATTAATTTAAAAGATTGATTTGTAAGGGTTGTACTTATATATGCTGAGCACTGTATATAAACCAGCTTTCTAAAGACTATGTATGTGGTTTATGTGATCTCAGCATCAGTTTTAGATAATACGACAATGAATATACTGACAAGAAGTGTTTTGAGTTGTTGTGGTTGTTAAACATTAATCAAACTAAACTGTTTGACCTAGAAAAGAAATGTTAGACATTTGGATTTAATTTTATTGCTTGCAAATGCAAAGTGTTTGTCCAGGTTAGTTTCAACTGGCATCAGTTACTGTACATTTATACAAATTAAATTATTTTTACCATTCTTTGGATAGAGAAGTTGATGTGCTAAAGGCAGACTTAATTCTTTTCTTTGATAATATGCATTAAGTTAGTCATTAGCAGTCAATGTGTTTTACAGGAACAATATTGTCATAGCATAACCATACAGTCACAGTATTGGCATTTTGTCTCTCTTATCTCTGTATCAATGACTGCATTGTGAAGCTGGCCTCAAAAAAACATCACAACACAGACTGAGGGCCTCCCTTTCAATTCCAAAGCTAAAACTATACTCAGTTTAGCCGGACATCTTTGTATATTGTATAAACTATTTAAAACATTTATAAAATATTATATTAAAAATATATATAGCCTATACACTGACTTAAAAAACCCTACTAAAATTAAGAAATGTGCTAAAGTACAAGTTTAAACCCTCAATCATTATATTTAACATTTAAATATTACTTTTAGAGGAGATTTATGAAGTGTTCTGTACATTGTTTCCCTTCTAAGTTATATGCATGGCATGCTAAATATTCAGTCTTCGTGTTGTGTTGTCTTGGTATCTCCGTTAACTCTTTGCGAATCACTGCGTTTCATTTGACGTTGATCAACTACAGCGTTAGCATTACTACGACAAAATACTACGTTTTGAAGCTCCAAAATGTGCATAACATTCACGTCTGACGCTGAATAAAGTGTTTAATGCGGCAGACTAAACCGCAGGCCGACAGAGATCTACAACAACACGGTCAAGAGATAAATCTCGACACGATTCATTCAAGGCAGAAAAACAAGAAGCGCCAAACTTGCCTTGCAGCTGCAGTCCTGTCAGTCTCTTCTCTGACGGGATGTGTGATATTATACAGTAATAATCCACTCGATAGACAAGCGGTGTGTGTTAGCTACAGCTTCAGTCAGTATATGTGTGTATGTGTATGTGAGGCTAAAGAAGGCGGGGCGATCAACACTGACATGGACAAGTGCACTTGTCACCACATAACGGGCAAGTGCTTCACAAATAGCGGGTGCATTATGCTAATTATGTTATATAATATTACAAAATATCCGTAAATTAGCATTCTTTTGGTATTTTGTGATTCATATTTATATTTTGCCTTTAATTATTAGTTTTGTATGGTATTTTGCGACCTTGATCTTTCTTCCAACTTTAAACGTTGGAAAGTTGGGAAAAGTGACTTTTATTAACATTTTAATAGTTTAAAGTGTAATATATTGTATAATGTATTGTCTGGGTTGGTGTTGTATATTATGGTACAAAAACATTTCCTGTTATTTTACACACGTATTTATCTCTAGGCTATATTACTTCTTATACATTTTGACATTTCAAACCACTAAATGTCCATAAAAGTCACTTTGTTAAACTGTAGAGTGGAATTTTCAACATCAAAAGTCGACAGTGCAGAGGTCAACATGCAATCAATGCAATCCACAACCACAAATAAGCGGAAAACACTTCTGAATCACTGTTAGTTAACAGACAGGCCTATTTTAATTTACAGCGTTGAGTCTGTCTGTTAATTAGAACCCTGCAATTGCTCATATGGAAAATAAACAACCACATTTCTAAAACAATTTATATAAAATTATAGTATAGCATATATATCATATTAAAATGTATATTTAATGCATACAGTAGTCTATACTTTGAACTTCTACTTTAAATATTAGCCTACAGCAGAAACAAAAGTAGTGTGTTGTGTAGACATTTTAATCTCTTGTTTTTAGCGATGCTGATGGATGTTAAATGCACTGCAGGCACCTCATACTGACTTGATTGAATTATTTGATTTGAAGTGAAAAATAAATTATAAATAGATATACCTTTGCAAAAGTTATTCTACTGTTCTGAAACACACATTCAGATGAACGCTTTCTTATCAGCGATGAAAAAACATTAAATAAGAAAGCATTTGGTCATAGCAAAATAAATATGTTTGCACAAGTTCTGTAATTTAAGCATCATATCAGCATGTGAGGTAATTAAAATCACACGTTTGACAATCTGATTATAAAGTCTGTCTATATGAAATTTTAATTTTAAAAAATCCAAAGAATGGAAAACTCACATTATTTTAATATTTCTGAAATAAAAAAACACGTATGCTCTTTAAGGCAGTGTTTCTCAACCACGTTCCTGGAGGACCACCAGCATTGCACATTTTCCATGTCTCCTTAACCAAACGCATCGGATTCAGATCATTAGCTCATTAGCAGAGATTCAAAGACCTGTAATGGCTGTGAGAGACAAAGGAGACATCCAAAACATGCAGTGCTGTTGGTCCTCCAGGAGCATGGTTGAGAAACACTGCTTTAAGGTGTTCTTCTTTTTTGAACCCAAAACAAAACATTCTGAAGAATGCTGGAAGAAGTAGCCATTCACATCAATAGTCCATGATGACAGAATTTATTGGGTAAAATATCCCATTCATGTTATAGAAATAGAAATAAAATTTCCCAAGAACATAAAAAATAATAATATCAAAAATAATAAAAGATAACTTTATTTAATGGACAGCAACAAGGCTGTAATATTATTGTTTGCATTATAAATTCCAAATGGTCCACAATACAATGTTCCGTTTACACAAGGAAACACCAGATAAAAACAGTGCTTGCAAGGCATCAAAGAGAGGCACACTTGATAAACTTAAGTCTTAAATTCCATTTAAAAGTATAGAAAACAACAAATGACTGTAGATTTTGATAAGCCAGCCTAAGCATTTCTGTTGAACGGTCCTGTCAATATATATGGTCACTATTTTTGAAGACCTGCCTTGTTCTAAATCATACTGTAGGTCTCAAACTGGATTCCTGGAGGGCTGCAGCTCTGCACAGTTTTGCTCCAACTCTAATCAAACACAGCTGATCCAATTAATCAAGGTGTTCAAGACTACTAGAGACTGTTAAGCAGGTGTAAAGTTGGAGGTGGTAGGAGCTAAACTATGCAGAGCTGTGGCCCTCCGGGAATTGAGTTTAAGACTGTTCTAAATCAATGATCTAGACCAGGGGTCACCAATCTCAGGCCTGGAGGGCCAATGTCCCTTCAGGGTTTAGCTCCAACTTGCCTCAACACACCTGCCTGGGTGTTTCAAGTAAGACCTTGATTAGCTTCTTCAGGTGTGTTTGATTAGGGTGGAGCTAAAATCTGCAGGACAATGGCCCTTCAGGAACAAGTTTGGTGACCCCTGATCTAGACTGCCTGACTGAGATCAAATTTAAAGTGGCTCACACACTGAACAAGAAACACTGTGCCAAAGGCTATAGAATAACAAGACATGTCACTCGTATAGTTTTGAATGGGGAAAAGTGTAAAGGTAAATATAGTGAATAAAGCCCTGCCGTCTAGTACTGTAGCCAATCATTGATCGCTATAGACTGACAATTCTCAGAGTAAAAGGCTCGGACCAGACGTGTTTCTGCAGATTTTGTGCGATTTGAACAGTTAGAATTGAAACTAAAGAGATAGTCGTTGCTTAATTTTATTGCAGATTCGTATTATAAAATTTAGTCGTAAGCTTGGCAAGCAATTTTTGAGAATTTGATGTTTCATCATTTAAACAGAATGCCCCAGCATGCTGCCTGAGAAGCATTTCAAAGATGGCCACCGAGTGAAACGACTTTGACAGTGTGGAGCCACATCTTTAAAATATAAACACAGTATTTTCAATAGATGTACAAAACAGTTGTCAGATATCTAAACATATTTGTATCTAGCTTTATGCTTCAACAGCTAAATGAATGCTTTAGTCCAGGGGTGTCCAAACTCGGTTCTGGAGGGCCGGTATCCTGCAGATTGTAGCTTCAACTTGCCTCAAAACACCTGCAAAGATGTTTCTAGAAAGCCTAGTAAGAGCTTGATTAGCTAGATTGGGGTTGGAACTAAACTTCTCAGGACACCGGCCCTCCAGGACCGAGTTTGGGCATGCCTGCATAAGTCTATCTAACTGACTGTATTCTAAATACAAATCAAGTATTACACTATCAATGCTGTTAAAGGAACATCATGAAATTGAATATACAAATCACAACACTTTTAACAATAACTTGCACAAAGATTACCACAAAATAAAGTTGTAATAGAGCGTGTGCATTAAAGACTCTATAAAATCTAAATTTTAATAGCACATGCAATGATTAGTAATAGCAAATGGTTCTATGCTATAAAGGAGTGTCTACATTTAAGACAATCCCTACTATATTCATTCATTCATTCATACATTCATTTTCCATCGGCTTAGTCTCTAATTTATCAGAGCTCGCCACAGCGGAATGAACCGCCAACTATTCCAGCATATGTTTTACACAGCAGATGCCCTTTCAGCTGCAACCCAGAACTGGGAAACACCCATACACTCTAGCATTCACACACATATACTATGGCCAATTTTATTTACCCAATTCACCTGTGGCACATCTTAGGACTGTGGGGAAACTGGAGAACCCAGAGGAAACCCCCATATGTTCCATTCAAAAATTAATAGAAAAAACATCTCATGCTGTTGATTATATGATACTAGTGAGTTATTAGTATTACTATGGTTAACATTCTGCCAGGATGTTGTTTACTGGCCAACACTTTGATGAAAAAAATTGATCCCTGTAGTCTATAAGATTTTATTAAATGATTTTACTGTTGACCAGGTGATTACACATCTGGCCACAGTAAAGCACACTACTTCAGTTTTTATGTGCTGTATGCGAGGGTTTAAATACAGTGCATGTGATACAAATTTTGTCATCAACAAACGCAATTTTTGAAATGGCAGAAACAATGTGAAACTAACATGCACACAATTGATTTTGCACAACTTTGATGTACAACTTTAAAGACGGTCAGCAGCAAAAAAATATTAAAATGATGCCTTGCAAGCACGGCAAAAAACCGAAAGTGCATCACAAACAAAACAACAGCCAATTATATTTGTTTCTCTGTAGCAAATACAATGGACACATTTACACATTCCTGGTGGTCCATTATACTGGTAAAGCATTTAGTCATATGATTGTAAACTGTGCAAGTTAACTAGCGCAATAAAATATATAGTCATCCTCTGGGCCTTTAAATCATAGCAAATGACAGCCACTGAAAAAAAGGAAAAGAAAAATAACCATTTAAAACTGCTCGGACGTAATAATCATTAAGCATAATATTATTAAATTCATTACCTGAAAGAAGTCCAGCTCAATGAACCCGCTGTGGTCTATATCCATCCTCTTGAACACTTCTACAAAAGAAAACGTAAAACAAAGGAATTTGCAACTTGAACTGATATAACAAGATAAAAAAAAACATATAGTATTTCTGGAAAGTATTGATAGCTCTTCACTTTTTCCACATTTCTTTATGTTACAGCCTTATTCCAAAATGGATTCACTTCATTTATTTCCTCAAAATTCTACACACAATACCCCATAATGACACAGTAAAAAAAGATTTTCTGAAATTGTTGCAAGTTTATAAAAAATAAATAAATAAAAATCTCATGTACAGAAGTATTCACAGCCTTTGCTCAATACTTTGTTGATGCACCTTTGGCAGCAATTACAGCCTCAAGTCATTTTGAATATGATGCCACAAGCTTGGCACACCTGTCTTTAGGAATGTTTGCCCATTCCTCTTTGCAGTACCTGTCAAGCTCTATCAGGTAGGATAGGAAGTCACGGTGTACAGCCATTTTCAGATCACTCCAGAGATGTTCAATAGGATTGAGATCTGGGCTCTGGCTGGGCCACTCAAGGACATTCACCGAGTTGTTGTGAAGCCACTCCATTGATATTTTGGCGTTGTTCTTTAGGTCATTGTCCTGCTGGGAGATGAACCGTCGCCCCAGTCTGAGGTCAAGAGCCCTATAAAGCAGGTTTTCATTCAGGATATCTCTGTACACTGCTGCATTCATCTTTCCCTCTATCCTGACTAGTCTTCCATTTCCGGCTGCTGAAAAACATCCCCACAGCATGATGCTGCCACCACCATGCTTCACTATAGGGATGGTATTAGCCTGGTGACAAGCGGTGCCTGGTTTTCTCCAAACTTAACGCCTGGCATTCACTCCAAAGAGTTCAATTTTAGTCTCATCAGACCAGAGATTTTAGTTTCTTATGGTCTGAGAGTCCTTCAGATGCCTTTTGGCTAATTCCAGGTGGGGAGTGTCTTCCGTCTGGCCACTCTACCATACAGGCCTGATTGGTGGATTGCTGCACAGATGGTTGTCCTCTGTAAGGTTCTCCTCTCTCCACAGAATAATGCTGGAGCTCAGACAGAGTGACCATCGGGTTATTGATCACCTCCCTGACTAAGGCCCTTCTCCCCCTATCACTCAGCTGAGAGGGCCGGCCAGCTCTAGGAAGAGTCCTGGTGGTTCCAAACATCTTACACTTAAGGATGATGGAGACCACTGTGCTCATTGAGTTTCAGAGCAGCAGAATTTTTTCTGTAATCTTCCCCAGCCTTGTACATCGAGACAATCCTGTCTCGGAGGTCTACAGACACTTCCTTTGTCTTCATGCTTGGTTTGTGCTTTGACATGCACTATCAACCCTGGGACCTTATATAGACAGGTGCATGCCTTTTCAAATCATGTCAAATCAACTGAATTGACCACAGGTGAACTCCAATCAAGCTGCTGAAACATCTCAAGAATGATCAGAGGAAACAGAATGTACCTGAGCTCAATTTAGAGCTTCACGGCAAAGGCTGTGAATACTTCTGTACATGTGATTCTTCTGGTTTTTTATTTGTAATGAATTTGCAACAATTTAAAAAAATCTTTTTTAACATTGTCATTATGGGGTATTGTGTGTAGAATCTTGAGGAAATAAATGAGTTTAATCCATTTTGGAATAAGGTTGTGACATAAAAAACAAATGTGGAAAAAGTGAAGCGCTACGAATACTTTCTGGATGCACTGTAGATCACAATTTATTTTAAAGGCCATTATTTTATCATGCAAAATCAATTTTTGGAAGCTGTTTGGACAGAACTGTGTGTATGTATAGTGTTTCCACACTGTGTAAAACATTAATGCTTCATAGCCAAATATAAAATATAATAAAAAAGAATCTCCCTCTGTTGTACAGTGGATCAATGATATGTCCTTCTGTTTAGTTATGGAAAAGATTTCATATTTGTTATAAGGCAAACTTACTGCTTTAGAGAAAATGTCGACACCCTTTATATATCTTATTTTAAATTCAGATTTTAGCAATTTATTAAATGAAACAGGAAAAGACAAATAAATTAACAGTATCTACAATTTTCCCCGTTTTCAAAGATTTATTTTAACAAAGCGTTGTCATGTTGATGATCTGGTGCATGCCTCCTATAAATCATTTGTATTTTCAACAATTCCTCCCTAATGTTTTATCTAGAATAATCTGTTACTATTTAAAACAACCTTTGCCCCCCCCCCCTTTTAAATTTCTTTTTTCTCTTCTCTTTTTTGTTTTTTTAGTTTTTGTTGTTATTCTTTTAAATTGAAAACAAAGATGTAAATATGATTGTGATGTATTAAATCATCACATTTTTGTTACATCTCAATAAAAAGATTGTTAAAAATATTAAAAATAATAAATAAAAAACTCCCAAAACCAACAGAACATGAACCAGTCAGAATTAGAAATTCTTGGACTTACTGAACATCATCTCCAGGCGCATCACACAGGACACAAAGTTGTCAAAGTCGATGGTCATGTCTGCGTCTCCATAGCGTGCAGCCAGACTCTGGTGAATGCAGTCATTCAGAGAGAATCCTGTGCAGTAATTAACAATAAATCAAATTACTATATTAAACTCAAAGGTTTACTTACTGTTTGCTAATAACTGCCAAAATTGTGCCATATATCACAGCTTTCAGGAATATCCTGACTAAAATATATTTTAAAAAATCATTAAATCAGCATTGTTAAATAATATAAAAAGCCTGATTGTTTTTGAAAATTTTAGTTTTTTAGATTATTTTCCATCGTTGATTTATACACTTTAAACGATCCTAAAGTTAAAGTAATACATTTGTGGGTTTATGGGTACAATCACAATCTCAACTGCAGTTTGTTGCAAAAATATTATGCAGACAAGAAATTATAGGCTGACAAGAGTATATAATCAATATGATTGTATCAACCAATGTTTAAGGCCAATGATTAAAAATAATCCCTTATCATTTGTTTGTATGCCTGTATAAAAACCAGCAAGTTTTTGGTGCACAAAAGTGTTCTTGGAGCTTGATATGATATTCCAGTTGAATGAGAGAGAAATAAAATATCTTAATCTGTATTACAGAAATGAACAAAAATCTCAGGTGACTGAAACAACATGAGAGTGAGTAATTAATAACAGAATTATAAATTTTGCGTGAACTAACCCTTTAAAGAATGTGTCTACAACCAAAAAAACATTACCTTATCATATCATAAGAATTTCAGCTCTGAAAGCTTCTTCAGTGTTTCTAAACAAATTGAAGATGCCGGTTTGGCCTTATTAATCTGAACTAGATTCCTAACTTTTGGAAGTTGGTTTGCTTTATCAACATTTAGACCACACAAATCAAACTTTTCCAAGCCTCAGCATATGTTTTACGCAGCGGATGCCCTTCCAGCTGTAACCCATCACTGGGAAATACCCATACACACTCTTTCACACTCAAATATACTACAGAAAATTTAGGTTACCCAATTCACCTGTACCGTATGTCTTTGGACTGGGGGGAAACCGGAGCACCCGGAGGAAAGTTGCTGCTTATTAATAGTTATTAAGTTAGTCATTGGGTTTAGATGTTAGGTAGGATTAGATTGTAGAATAAGATCATGCAGCATACTGTATGTTCTTTACAAGTACAAATAAACAGCCAATATCTTAATAATATTGGGGAATAAGTCATTAGTTAATAATATTAGAATCTGCGTCGGACATCTGCTAAAAAAAGAGCACTCTGATTGGTTATTTAGCAATGAATCAGAATGCAAGATCAGAAACTGAATTGACGTAAACAATTCAAGTCAAGAAGGAACACAGAAACTGGCTGCAATTTTGACATTATTGATAGTAATTCTGGCTATAAAATTCATATCCCTAAGATTTCCTATTAACTGTAGTTTTGACATTATCGATGGTCAGCTAACGAACACCTTGCATTATGTAAGTGTAGCTGCACATTTCACTACAACCAATCAACACATTCTCATAAGACACTAAAAACTGAAGCACTGGCATCATGCAAGTAATGATTTGTAGGTAAATAAGATTTGGTGTTCATGTTGTGTTTGTCTTTCAGCTTTAATGTTTTAGATTTTGTAAAGTAAATTAAAAAGGTAAAGTTTTTCTTTCATTGTTTGGCATTTTTTGTACAGCACACAGATTCAGACGAAGAGCTGTGTAGAGGGATGACTCCTGGAAATCTTTATAATGTTCCAACTTCTGGTGTCATTTTTTTAGAGCCTGTGTTAGTTGTGTTTTTTAGAGGTTTACAGTTGTTATTTTTTTCGCCTCTTGAGATTACTTTTACTTAAAATTACTTTGTAAAAAATACTTTATAACAAAAAAAAAACTTTGTAAAGACAATCATTTTAGAATTACTGTAATTGCTTAATTGGGAGTAAAAACTTCATTGTCTGTTCTGTTTCTAACTAAAAAAAATCTGCTAGAATAAGTTTAGTGAACTTGAAAATGTAAGTTTATGTATTTAAATAAATTTTCCAAGTTCTGCTAACTTGATAATGTAAGTTAACATATTAAAAATAAACTTTGCATGTCCACTTAAATTTCAATGATTCAACTCTGTCTACTAAATATTTTAAGTTGAGAAAACCTTGAGAATTAAGGGAATACAACTTAACTGAGTCAATGCAACAAGATGACTGAACTAAGTTAAGTTGAGTGAACTAATCATTTTTACAATCTATGGGGAAACTGGAGCACTGGGAGGAAACCCATGCCAACATGGGGAAAACTTGCAAACTCCACACAGAAATACCAACTGACCCAGCCTGGACTCGAAAAAGCAACCTTCTTGCTGTAAGGCAACAGTGCTAACCACTAAGCCACTGTGCCGCCTTCACTACTGAAAGTTATTACCCATTTTGAATCAGTTTAAAATTAAGCCTGAATAATGTCAAAGGCTAGCAGACTGTACCTGCTTCCTTCAAAGCCATTCGCATCTCTGGTGTACTCATACAGCCGGATCCATCCATGTCATTCTTCTTATAAATGCCCTAAATAAAGGACGATAAGGATGTCAGCCCTAAACAACCGATGAGAACAGATTTACAGCTAGTTTTTTTAAACGTTTGACAAACTCACCAAATACTTTTGAATCTTCTTCCAAAGTGTAGCAAACTCAGTTAATCCTAGTTTTCCATTTCCACTTTCCTGCATTAGAGTTAAGCAAAAGTGACTTTCATTCATTTTCCCTCAGTTTAGTCCCTTTATTCTTCAGGGGTCACCACAGCGGAATGAACCGCCAACTTATCCAGCATATGCTTTACACAGCGCATACCCTTTCAGCTGCAACCAATCACTGGGAAACACCCATACACTCTCATTCACACACATAAACTACGGCCAATTTAGTTTATTCAATTATAGCGCATGTCTTTGGACTGTGAGGGAAACCGGAGCACCTTGAGGAAACCCACGCAGACACTGAGAGAAACAGTAACCTTCTTGCTTTGAAGTGACAGTGCTAACCACTGCGCTATTGTGTCGCCAAAACTGACTTTCATAAATAATAATAAATTAATAAGCATAATTAAACCAGCTTCTGTGAAGGATACATCCATGAGGTTGACCATCACCCTACATGTATCCAGACTGAAACCATCAGTCTTGATATCGGTTCCTGTATGAAGAAGACAAGTGGAAATAAAATTAAAAAGATCCTACACATATTTACATATAAAACGTGATTAAGGATTTAAAGACAGGCTTACTCTTTGCCACTATTTTGTTGAAAATCGTTCGCAGCTCAGAAGCAGAGATCTCCATGTCCTGAAGCAAAAGCAAACATTATTTTGTACATGTTTCCTGGCTCAAAGGTGCTTCATGTTTATCAAGTAAGGTTTTATGCAGGGTCTAAAATAACTCACATCTCCTGCAAGTTTAGTAAACAGGCCCCTAAAGCCAGAATCAACCTCTTCTTCAGACACCATTTCCTGGAGAGGTAGAAAAGAGAGAGGGTATTCATAGCAATAAAGTGAATTGAAATTAAATCATTTTACCAGAGCCAAAAGAAAACAGGACTTACATCATCTACATTTGCTTCTATAGGGTCATCACATTGTCTGGAGAAAAAAAAGAGATATTAGATGGCCCCCTCATAAAATATAATGGCAAATATAATAATAATATAAAGCTGGGAAAAATTAATTGCGAATAAAAGTTTTTTATTGTACAAAATATATGTGTGTGTTATATATATTTATTATCTATATGTGATAATGTGATACACATACATAGAAACAAAATTATACAAAACAAATTTGTTATGTAAATATTTACATGTGTATATATATATATATATATATATATATATATATATATATATATATATATATAAATATATATATATATATATATACACAGACATTTGTATCATATACACACGTTTTATATCTAAATATAAATAAACATTTTCCCAAATAGGGGCGCAGTAGGTACTGCTGTCGCCTTACAACTAGAAAGTCGCTGGGTCGCTGTTTCGAACCTAGGCTCGGCTCAGTTGGCGTTTCTGTGTGGAGTTGGAGGTTCTCTCTGCGTCCGTGTGGGTTTCCTCCGTGCAAAAGTCCAAAGACATGCGGTACAGGTGAATTGGGTAGGCTAAAACTGTCCGTAGTGTATGGGTGTGAATGAGTGTGTGTGGATGTTTCCCAGAGATGGGTTGCAGCTGAGAGGGCATCTACTGCGTAAAACAAATGCTGGATAAGTTGGCGGTTCATTCTGCTGTGGCGACCCCAGTTAAATAAAGGGACTAAGCCGAAAAGAAAATGAATGAATGAATAATAATAAAAATAAATAAATAATAATAATAATAATAATAATAATAATAATAATAATAATAATAATAATAATAATAATAATAATAATAATAATAATAAATCATATAAAATAAATAATACATTTAATGAAATAATATAATAACATATAAAAGCTTAATTTTTTTATACTGTAACATTTTTGTCATATTTGGTGGACTGACAATATTTTTAATGAAATGATCACAACTTTATTCAGGACTTTTTAGTAAACGAATCTAATCTAAAAAATAAATAAATAAATAAATCAATCAATCAAATAATTTTTTTATAAATAAATAAAAATAAAATTAAATTAAATAAAAATTATTTCAATTTTAACAAACTAGGGGGATTTTTTTTGAACTGTTGAATTATAAATTAATTTCATTTTTTCATTATTTTGTAGTATATAATGTTATGTTTGATCATATGTACAAAATGCATATTGAAATAAATTAAATAAAATAATTACCTTTTTAATTTTACCAAATAAAGGCTTGTTTTTCCCCCATTTTTGTAATATAGTTATGTTATGCTATTTTCTTACATTGTTATTTTTGTTATATTTTGTACAAAACGCATATTGAAATACATAAAATAATTCTAATTTTAACAAACCAGGGGTATTATTTCTTTTAAAACTTTCAATATCTTAATACCAGACAATACCAAAAATAGATTTTTTTTAGGGGGGGGGGGTGGTTGGGGGGGGGGCACATTAAAACAAATAGAGTGAAATAATTGTTTCAATTTTAAAAACTAAGGAGATATTATCTCATGGAATTCTTGAAATATTAATGCCATAAATATGAAAATATTTGCATTATTTTAGTAATATATAGTTATGTTATGTCTGAACATATGTATAAAACACATTAAAATGAATAAAATAAAAATTTCAATTTTACCAAACTAAGGGTTTAATTTCTTTTGAAACTATTGAATTATTAATGCCAGAAAATAAATTCATTTACGTAAATTAATTTATTCACTTAGTCTCTATTTCAGAGGTCGCCACAGCGGAATGAACCGCCAGCTATTTCAGCATATGTGCACATACACACTCATGCACTATGGCCAATTTAGTTAATTTAATTCACCTATAGCACATGTCTTTGGATTGTGAGGGAAACCAGAGCACCCGGAGGAAACCCATATGAACACAGGGAGAACATGCAAACTCCACAAAGAAATGCCAACTGACCCAGCTGGGACTCCAACAAGCTTTTTGCTATGAGGCGACAGTGCTAACCACTGAGCCACCGTGCCACCAAAACCCAAATTATGAAAATATTTTGCCATTATTTTGTAATACACAGTTGTGCATGATCATATGTAGAACACACATATTTTTAATCAATAAAAGAGACGATCCTTACTGCATCTCAGACTGTTTCTCGGAGAACACACGCACACAAAAATCCCCGTTCTTGTGCGGATCGAATGTAGAAGGGACGATGAGATATTCTCCAGGAGGAAGTTTGAAGCGGGTGCTGACCTCTCTGAGGTTGATAAAGGTTTCAGATCGAGCTTTCTGAGCGTGAGTCAGGAAATAGTTCTTATCCAGATGAACCTCCTTTTGCCCATGAAACTGCAAAGAGGCGAACAAGAACCAGAAATACTATATTTGTACATTTTCAACACTACAAGTCAACAGAGCATTGATATATACGTAAGATACATAAAATTTTACTATATATTTTTTAAGATACTAGTATTCAGCTTAACGTTTAAAGGCTTAACTAGGTTAATTAGGCAAGTATAACGAAACTTTGTTGACTTGTATTTGTATGTTTTTTTTATAAATATGTGTATGTATATATGTATGCATGTGTATGTTTAATGTATGCAAATGTATACAGTATATGTAAATATATTGGTATATACAGTATATAGATGCTTATATATGTATGCATGTGTATATTATAGTTTATTCTGTGTTATTATGTTTTACTTTTATTTTAAGTGTGACTTTTTAACATTCTGTAATGCCCCATTCACAAGCTGTCAACGCTTCCCATTCACTTTGAATAGGTGATGTCAGGTACTGCATTGTGGATCCGTCGGCGCTGCTTCAGTGCTATTGCTCGCTGCAGAAGCTGGGACTTGCTCATCTTTTCGATGAAAGCGTCAATCAGATCACTGTATGCAAATACACCAACTCAGACAGTGGCTATTGCTGACTAATTTTATTGGCTGACGCTGCTGTGATGATCGCGTCAGCCCCAACTTTCAACGTCAAGCGTTGAAGCTGAATCCCCGTGTGAATGGGGCGTAAGGGGTCTACAGATGAAAACTAGCCATTCTTGGCTAATTCTGGCACATTTTACAGTAATGTTTATTAATGTGCATTGACCCTGTAATCAAATAAACTAAATTTATAGACAATCAAAAATAAAAATTGCTTAAGAGGGCTCATAATTTTGACTCTAAAATGTTTTTTAATAAATTAAAAACTGCTCTCATTCTATCTGAAATAAAACAAATACGACCATCTCCAGAAGAAAAAGTATTTACTGTGAAAAATGACTTGCTCTGTTAAACATCATTCGTTGTTTTATTTTTATCTTTCTATCTTCACTAAATATTACTCTTTCTTATGTACAGCACTTATGGTCAATCTTGTGGCTGTTTTTAAATGTGCTTTATAAATAAATGAACTTGAACTTGTGTGTTTTGAGTAATTATGTGTTGGTCATTTATATAAAAAAAAACATATTATCAAAAACCATCTTGCATAAATTATATTTACAGATTACTCCACTGTGCTCACCTGAGAAGGCACCTAAAATGAGGAAAAGAAAGAAAAAAGTATAATCAGTACCCTTTACAGGTTATGTTTACAATTTAACATCAAAATTAATAAAAAAAACATCTGTATATGAGCAACTCCACCTCGTAGATGGCATAGCCGATAGTGTGCATGTCTTCTCCAGCCTTCCTCATCTTGCGGCGGTTCTTCTGAATCAAGCCGATCACCACACTGCAGCCCACTTCATTATCATCCGGATCATCATCTTCCTCCTCCAGCTTGATCTTAAACTGAGGATTCATCCAGAACGTGTCTGTGGAAAACACGAAGATTATTACAGAGATTATTATAACCAAACAGCAGATTATTATAATGACAGTGCATAATTTTTTAGATTGCATATTTTACACTTATGCAATATTTTTGTTACATATATCACCATTCAAAGCTGATTTCCAGTGTTTTTGAAAGAGATTTGTTATGTTTGAGCACTAAAACATAACTACAATTTCTGTTTGAATTCAGTCTTCAGTGTAACATGATCTTCAGCAATCATTACAATGATGATATATCATTTTTGATGATTTTACATGAAATTACATGAAATTATTAAGGGCTATGCTCAAAATATCTAATGTATCTTTTATATCATGGTGTAAATATATATATTTATATATATTTAATCAAAAGCAAAAACACACTGCTTCACATTCAACCCAGGCTCATTGCAGATACCCAGCTCTACATTTCTAGGGACAGCAAAATACGTAACCGGAGGTACGTCTGCTTGCAGTTTTTGTTTTTTCATATCCACCAGAGGCCGCTGTATACACCTTTTGATGATCTTAAATTTCTCTCACGTGTCCTCTTCTCGCATAAATCCATCAGAGGGCGCAATATACACTTCAGCCGAATAGGCCAGCTTGCTGTCGACTGAACCACTCACCCCCTTCCCTAAACCCAACCAATAGTGTTTTTTAAAGAAATCTATCAAAAGAAAAGTCGTCCCGGCCGCACTATTTCACCAGGTTTTCAGCCTGTTATTTCAGCTAGTTATTTTTTATTTTGTTTTACCTGGTTTCTGAAACCAATCTTCGCCAGATTCAAACCCCGCCATCGTAGTCAACTCGGCTCTTTCCCAAATTCCTGACATAAATATAGAGAAACTGGGCAAACTGTCAAAACCAGAAAAGCCATCCATACGGAGGTAAGCCTTCAGCTTACCGTGCCTAAGCATTGGTGTTAAAGACGAAATGCAGCCAGACGTACCTCTGGCTACATAAATCGTGCTATCCAGAACTGTAGACAGGGGTACATTTCTAGAATTAACCTTTGTTGTTTACATTTGTCTGTTTATATGCAAATGAGCAGCTCCTTCCCGGCCCCCTTCCAAAAGAGGGCTGAGCCTTATAGCTTCTGTTTCATTTACTCTCAGAGCAATAAGTAAAATACTTGCATGCGTATTAAAACCTTGCCAGTTTAAACTCGTCCATTCATTTCTCTTTCGGCTTAGTCTCTTTATTTTTCAGGGATCGCCACAGTTGAATGAACCGCCAACTTATCCAACATTGTGGGGAAAACCGGAGCACACGGAGGAAACCCACGCCAACACGGGGAGAACATGCAAACTCTACACAAAAATGCCATCTGACCCAGCCAGGGCTCAAACAGACCTTCTTGCTATGAGGCGATCATTCTACCTACTGTGACGGTGGCACAGTTTAAACTCATAATATGTGTATATATATGATACTAATATATGACTTTTTTGAGGCCTACAGTATGAAACTTAGTGACAACATGCACAATATGTAGGATTTTTGTATCACAATATCCAAAAAACACTAGAATGGTCATTTATTTTGCTGACCAATGTATTGAAGTTTGATCAAATCTAAAGAACTAAGCAGTTTTAAAGTGCCATTGTGTTGCTATGCTAATGTGTCATTGTGTTGCCATGCTAGTAATGTCATACACCCTCCATTTCATATAAAATGCAAAAAAATATAACACACCAAAGAATGATTAACCGCCTTTGTTTGTTGTATGTGCCCTCTAGTGGCAAAAATGACATATTTTGGCTTTAGCTCTGTCCCCATGTGTGAGAATGATTTAAATCTGCGCTAAAATGACATGTACTTTCCCAGAAGCAAACTCAAGACTAAAATCTAGGTGTTTAATTAAACAGTGCAATCTGAAATGGAAAATAACTCTCTTTTGAGTGATTTTGTGCTTTATAACTATGCACTTTTTTTTTCAAAATCAAGTGTAAAAACTATCATTATTGTTGTCATTTTTTACAGTCATTATGACTTTCATTACATTATTATCATTGTTGTCACTCCCTACCACTGATTGGTTTTGTTCTGTTTCAAGAGTTCACACTTAGCTGATGATTTATATTAAGCTTGTTTGGCATGTTGTCCAGGGAGATTTGCAGAGTGAGAGAGGAAATTAAACTCATTTAGATCTCAAAAACTCCCCCACTGATAGTGAACTACTTTGAGAAGGAAAAAAACTGATGCTAGAAGCTAAACTATCGTGCCCATTTGTCTTAGTCTGTTTACATACGACACATATCGGTGGGAGGAAACTGGACACCACGAGAACATGCAAACTGCACAAAATGCCAACCGTGATGCCCAATCTAGGTGAAAGTGGAAGGAGAGGGGGAGGAAGGGGGGTTTTTTCTGGTTATTTATAATGACTTAGGAGTCATATGATTTAAGAATAATTATCTAATGCTGGACTGACTGTGGTCAATCATAAGCAAGTGATCTTCTCGGAATTAGTTTATAAATAAACTTTACTTCATTTACATCTATATTATTTGCCTAATCTTTTTGATATCTGTGACTAATAAAAATATGCTTTCTACTGTTATGCATGTTATAATTTTTGATGCTTTTGATTTATGTACTCTGACCTGTCCACCCAGTTACCTTTACATGCACACACACACACACATACTTTTTTGTTGCTGTTTGGTTTTTATCTCTGTTCTTTTTTTTTTGTTTTCTTCCATTTGTATTTGATTCCATGTAAATTGTGTACCTCTTGTATAATAAAAGTAAAAATAAGTTAAAAAATAATAGTAAAACTATAATTGGACATTTTTAAAACATGTAATTTCTGTGCTACTTGACACCACTGGCAGATAGTTCCTCAAACTCAAAGGCATATTATGTGGTTATGCCATGCACATTTAAAGAGACTGCAATTTAATCTGGTGCCATTAGTGCCATAAAAATTAAACACTTCCTCCTTAAGGTATAAATATAAACATGCGTACATGGATGGTTCCTGCAACCACCAGCCGTAGAGCCTTTTCTCCAGGTGCCATCAAATTTACACACACTCCAGTGTTTGAGCGAGTCAGACGTCAGCGTGTCTGGGGTCAGAGTGCAGATCTCAAGGCGGGAATACTGCCTCACAAAATCTGAGAATGACATCCTGCATATGTGCAAAAAGAGCAATAATGGTGAATAACTGTACTTTGGCGAAACGGGTTACGTGGTTTTAAATAGAAGTGATTTTTACCAGAACTCTCCATCTTCTGATTTCACATTCTCACGCTCAGATGGATCGACAGCGTTCCACTCAGAAGAGCTAAAAGACATTAAGATAATTAAGTGAAACACTATTACTATTTTACTATATACTCTTTTATATACAAAACTTACATGTATAAAAATACAACAGCATTATATACATTTTAATTAATAAAGAAGGTAAGGAAGCTATATGTAAGAATTTGCATTTTGATAGCTTTTTATTGCTTATCCATAGACTGATTTGTATGTGGTGCAGCACATATTTAAACACACATAGACAACACCTATATACTATATAACTGCAGGTTAACTATGCTCATACATACAGTTAAAGTCTGAATTATTAGTCCCCCTGTTTATTTTGTAATAACTGAGAGCAGATTTTTTTCAACACATTTCTAAACATAATAGTTTTAATACCTCATTTGTAATGAATGATTTATTTTATCTTTGCCATGATGACAGTAAATAATATTTTAATAACTAGGTTTATTAGTTTAGCTAGGCAGATTAGGGTAATAAGGCAAGTTATTGCATAATGTTGGTTTGTTCTGTGGACTATCTGAAAAAAAATTGCTTAAAGAGGTTAATAATTTTGACTTTAAAATGGCTTTTCAAAACTTAAAAACTGCTTTTATTCTAGCCGAAATAAAACAAATAAGACTTTCTCCAGAAGAAAAAATACTATTAGACATACTGTGAAAATGTCCTTGCTCTGTTAAACATCATCTGGGAAATATTTGAAAAAGAAAAGAAAATATAAAAGGGGGCTAATAATTCTGACTTCAACTGTACTAACATTAACTGTTAACAAATAACTAACTGTTATTAACTAATTACTGTTATACTAACTGTTAAAAGTTCCAGCGCGCTTTTACCAATCTTCATTTAGTTTTTAATACTAATAAAACAAAATGTAGGGTTTTAATAGAAATTATACCACATGTTGAGTTTCCTAATAAAATTTCCTAATTGGACGGTACTGAGATTGATTATGTTGACTGCTACAAATTTGTCGGTATCTAATTAGATGGTAAACTTAACATAAATTAATTGCTCAAAAAGGTTAAAGCCTGAACAAATCTTCCTTTATGCACTCTTTAAAGCAGCATTTGGTCAAATTACCAGCATTACCAATTTTAGATTATGGGGATTTAATTTACAGATTAGTCTACTCACCATGCAGCAACTTGTAACTTGTGCGCCATTTAATACTCATCACTGTCAACTTTTTTTATTGAATTGGCCTTCTTTTCATTTAAATCGACAAATTCATTGGTTTCTGTTCATTTATAAAACTCGTAATGGGAATACTCACTATTTACAGTCACTTCTTAACATTCAGAAAACATGTCGAAATCTGCGCTCCAGTGGTTTTATTAACCTTTGAATAGCGCACTTCATTTGGTCACTACTCTTTTCAGTATTCTGCTGCTGATGCTTGGACTCATCTGCAGCAGACCTTAAAGCTCAACACTTCCTCTATCATCCTTTAAAAATTAAATCCAGTTAATAGTACAAGATCACTTTGCTTGTTTTTTAGTTTGTCCTTGGTTTTATATCTTATTATCTGCATCTGTGAAACTTTGTACTGTATCTGCTTTTTATGTTGCCTCTTGGCCAGCTTTGTCATTGTAAATGAGAACTGCTTCTCAATTGACTTCCCTGGTTAAATAAAGGTTATTAAAAGCTACTAGCCAACTAGCCTCTGTCCACCATGGCCTCCTAACCATCCCCATATCATAATTGGCCTCGCCACTCTGTCTCCTATACACCAGGGGTGTCAAACTCAATTCCTGGAGGGCCGAAGCCCTGCACAGTTTAGTTCCAACCCTGCTCCAACACACTTACCTGTAGGTTTCAAACAAGCCTGAAGGACTCAATTAGTTTGATCAGGTGTGTTTAATTAGGGTTGGAACTAAACTGTGCAGAGCTGCGGCCCTTTTGGAACTGAGTTTGACACCTGTGCTCTACACCAATCAGCTGGTGTGTGGTGTGCAGTCTGGTTCAATTTGGCTGCCGTCACATCATCCTGCACACTGGTGGTGGTTGAGGAGATTCCCCCAATGTGTAAAAAGCTATGAGTGTCCAGAAAAGCGCTATATAAATGTAAGTAATTATTATTATTATTATAATAAGTAGTAACTAACAAAGTTATGATAAGTTTTCCAAATGTAATTGTATTGCAATAATGTGCACCTTAAAGCTGCTTTGTAACAATAATTATTGTGAAAAGTGCTATACAAATAAACTTGAATTTAATTATTTGCATATTAATTTAATTATGAGCAGTGTCACTTATAACAAAGGTTTCTTAATTTCACATATAGCAGTAAATAATAAGTAAATAAACAATTATGTAAATAATTATGTCTTACTTATCACTCCAAGCCCCAGTCCATTCCACCTGACCCCAAGGATTACGCACTCGGACCAGCTTTTCTTTTCGACTTCTGTAATTTACCTGAAAAGATCATACATATAAAAGTTAACAGGTAAAATATCAACGTTATCAATTATCACCCGAGAAAACACTCAAATTTAGTCTAATCCAAGGCAATATTTGAACTCTAATGTCAAAGGAGTCCAAAAAAAAATGAAAGGAGCTCAAATATCTAACCTCAGTAGCTCCAGTAAGAGAGTATGCATGTCCCTTTACAAGCTTCTGATAAGTGACGGCCTCAGAATCAGCAGCACTGGTGATCTGTAGTAATACAAGCACTGTTTTATCATCAGATATTAATTTTGGAGTACTTTCCCAATTTGTTTGAGCTCATACATCTATGGAGCATCCCAACAGAGCTCCAGAGTCCAGGGCCTTCTTGATGATCTGAAACAGGTTGGTCGGTGCACTTTTCAGCTCGTACATCTCTGCAATCCCACCAGTGAAATCCTCAAAACCTTCTGTGGTGGAACCTCCAGAAAGGGCTTCATAACATCCATTCACTCTGATTAAAAGAACACAGTGTCATGCAGAGGTAGAGTAGGCAAAAAAAGATGGTAAAATACGGTATTCATAAAACGGTTAATGAAAATGATATATACCATTCATCACCACACTAAAAATTAGCACAATACTGGCATTTCTAACTTCAGTACCATTCAGTATCATTCATCATATCATATTAATTATCATTGGAAAACTTAACATATGAACTGTATGATCATTTAGGTACCAATTTAGTTTAAGTCACAATACACACTATTAACTATTGGCGTATTGTCTGTCTATAATTAATATATGAACTATTTATTATACTTATAAAGTATGATCTTATTCAACATCCCTAATCCTACCCAACAACTACCTTACTAACTATTAATAAGCAGCTAATTAGCAATTTATTCAGCTAATAGTCTTAGTTAATGGGTTGTTAACAGAATAAAATGATTTATACTATTCATCTCACTATAAAAACGGTAACCACCACTAGTATTGGCACAATAGTGGCATTTCTAACTTCATTATGATACTATTAATAATATTCATATAAAATATCATTAGAAGACATAAAATATGAACTGTATGATCATTTAGATAACACTTTAATTTAAGTCACAATCTACAGTATTAACTATTGGCGTATTGTCTGTCTATTATTAATATATATTCACTATTTATTATACTTATAAAGTATGATCTTATTCTACATCCCTAATTCTACCCAACAACTACCTTACTAACTATTAATAAGGTAGTTATTGACTAATTTATTGAGCTAATAAGCTTAGTTAATGGTTTGTTAACAGAATAAAATGATTTATACTATTCATCTCACTATAAAAATGGTAACCAACACTAGTATTGGCACAATAGTGCCATTTCTAACTTCAGTATGATACTATTAATAATATTCATATTTAATATGATTGGAAAATATAACATATAAACTGTATGATACTTTAGATAACACTTTAGTTTAAGTCACAATCCACACTATTAACTATTGGCGTATTGCCTGTCTATTATTAATATATATTAACTGTTTATTATACTTATAAAGTATGATCTTATTCTACATCCCTAATTCTACCCAACAACTACCTTACTAACTATTAATAAGGTAGTTATTGACTAATTTATTGAGCTAATAGTCTTAAGTTAATGGTTTGTTAACAGACTATTTATCACACTATAAAAAGATAACCACCACTAGTATTGGCACAAAAATGGCATTTCTAACTTCAGCATGATGCCAATAATAATATTCATATTTAATGTCATTAGAAAAAATTAAATATGAACTATAATTTAGGTAACACTTTAGTTTGTCACAATACACACTATTAACTATTATTAAGACATGAACTGTTTATTAGAACTTATAAAGTAGAATCTTATTCTACATCCTTAATCCTATCCAATACCTAAACCTAAACTATTACCTTATTAACTATTAATTAGCAGCTAATTAATAATTTATTGGGCTAATAGTCTTGGGTAATGGTTTGTAAGCAAAATATAATCCCAGTACCTAAACTACCTTACTAACTAGTAATAATCAGCTAATAAGCAGTTCATTAAGAGCTTACTTAATGGTTTGTTAATAGCGTGAACTGTGACAAGCATATTAAGTGCAAGTCAATTCGATAAACAAACAAAAAAGATGAAAAAAAACCTTAAGTTGTTCATGTAGGTATAATATTGTGTTTCTCTCAGTCTTAAACATTTGAGGAAGAAATCAGATCTGCGTCAGTATATTGACTTTGTTTCTTTATATCTGTCTTAAATTGACAGCAGCCTAATAAAGCTTTATGATTCTACATTAAAGACACAGATGTAATATATTGATAAACATTTTTTCATCGAATGTCAACTTTTATAACTGACTTTGTTTACAAGAATACGTTTCAAAACTGGTATTTTGATGTTAGTCGAGATATAAAAGTAAAATGTGTATGCAATGTGTTTTCCCCCCTGATAGGTCTTAAAACATAAAATATAATCAAATAGTATACAATAAACAATAAATCTGTTTTACTTTACACAAAATTGCGTTTCACAATCAAGAACACTTCTATTAGTAATATGAAATGAACTTTATTTACCATAAAATTTTAAAGTTTCATCAAAAGTATTTTAAGCTGCTTAACAATTTTTAAGATTAACAATAATAAGATAATAATAAGATAATGGTAACACTTTAGTTCAAGTCAAATATCATGCCATTAACTACTGGCTAATTACCTGCCAATTATTAAAATATTAACTGTTCATTAGTAGTTATAAAGTATGATTATATTATAATCCCACCCAAAACCTAAACCCAACTTACAGTAACTAAACATCTAATTAGTAGTCCATTAAGCTAGTAGTCTAAGTTAATGGTTTGCTAACTTTGACCTAAACTAAAGTGGTACCAGAATAATTTTTAAGCAATCACGTGACACTAAAGACTCATGTTATGATACTAGAAATAATTTAAGTTGCATTTTGTGGCTGTTATTATGACTCAATGACTCAAGACAAAATCATCCCAAGGCAAACCCAACAAAGGGGAGCTTATGACTCACTTTGCATAGGCCTTCTCCAGCAGAGCGCTCCAGAACTCAGAGCCTGTGACGGAGTGAACAAAGAGCAGTTCCCCATCTCTAGTGGGCAATCGATCATCCACCACCACATCCACCCATTCTCCAAACTGCCAAAACTGCAAGCATTAAAACAAATGCATTAATTAGGGAGGAATCATATTTGATGATAATTAAATTGCAGCCTCGCAGTCATCATAACACAAGAGTGCACGGCAACAAGAGCCAGATCTCAGTCTGACACGCCTTCAGTATCTGCAGGGCTTGACCATAATCTCTGGAATCACTTTACAGTTATGATGTGGAAATGACTTTCTTTTTTTCTATTGAATAAACACAAAATATATGCTGAAGAATGTTGGAAACTGGTAGTCATTTTCCTCATACTATTATTTTGGATGTCGATGGTTACATTTATTCACCAACACTTTTCAAAATATCTTCTTTGGTGTTCAACACAAAAAGGAAACTCATAAAAATTTGGAATTTGATTTGATTATGTACAGTATGCACAGTTGGAACTTCCGCCATTCGAGGACACGTATTCATAACAAACAAATGACACAGCAAATTAATCATGGGAGTTGTGGTCTTCATTATACTGTTGGGATCGCCAGCTGTGTTTTCTCCGCTGGAGATTACTTCCTGTAACTCCATCTCCCAGAACTCCTTGCACTCATCATATCCTGCCACAGCTGACAATAATATGGACACTCACACACACACACTCAGCTGAAACTCATAGTATTCTGTGTGATCAGCCTCTAAAGGTAGAAAGCCATGGAGCTTTTATCATGTCCCAGTCTATTGCTTCCAGTTCTTCTGCTTGTGATCACACGGTCATACTAAATATACTAATATACTACTGCTGTCACCTCATTAGAAACCCCGCCTCTGCTTTTATTTGATTGGGCAATGAAAAAGGACTTTAGTTAGCTTTTTCCGCTCAGAGTTGATTTTTTTTATTGCAGGGGCAACTGCAGGGGCACAGAGCGCAATAGCAAAAAAAAGTGAGGCACAAAGGCGGTTAAAATGTGAGGCACACAGCGTAAAAAATGTTCAGGCCCATCAGTAAACTGTGATCAGCACCTAAGGTTGAAATCCATGAAGCTTTAATTATGCCCCAGTCCATCGCTTCCAGTTCTTCTGCTTGTCATCACATGGTCAAAAAGCAAAGTAATGCTGTTTTATCATAATGAATGCATTTTAAGGTTTTGTCATATTGTGATTCTTATAAAACATATAAAACATATTAACATAATTATTCTCATTAGAATTTCATTCATTCATTTAATTTTCAGCTTGGTCCCTATATTAATCCGGGGTCGACACAGCAGAATAAACCACCAACTTATCCAGCACATGTTTATGCAGCGGATAAGCCTACCCAATTCACCTGTACCGCATGTCTTTGGACTGTTGGGAAAACCGAAGCATCCGGAGGAAACCCACGCAAAAGCAGGGAGAACATGCAAACTCCACACAGAAACACCAATTTACCCAGTCGAGGCTCGAACCAGCGACCTTCTTGCTGTGAGGCGACAGCACTACCTACTTCGCCACTGTGTCGCCTTTCTCATTATAATTTACATAATTATTTGTTTCCCTGTTTTCTATATAACCAAACTGGAAATCAAGGGTGTGTGATGTTATTAGCAAGATTACAAACACTCTATATCACTCCTTTAATTTCTAATTTCTAATTTTCTGGATATGAACATGCATTGAAACATTCACGATAATGTAAGTACACAAGCAAAATATATAAGACTGTTCTCGTGGTTTTTATATATTTAAAAAACTTACATAATGTGGCTTTAAGTGTTTAGTACCTTAGCAAAAGGTGCAATTTAAAAATTCAGTAAGTACAAATACAACACACAAAGGAACTGAGCACACATCCTCTAGAATCACTGTTGTTTGTCTATTATGAGTCAATGTGACTTCCTGTCCTAAAGAATTCCACCAACCCAACCCATTAAATGACAAGTCTGCCTAAAAGCCAACTAGCCTATCAACCAACTAAAAACCCTTCCCGGCAAGACTCAAGCAACTTCCAGATCCCAAAGCTTAAAACAGCTTATCAAACAAGCTTTATCACTTTAACAAGCTTGTAGCAAGCCTTCATTCCTTAAAATGTGATGCTATCTCTCTTTAGTTATTTACATTTTTCTCTTCACAAGATATCCAAGTGCAACACGGCATTGATTTGCACTGTGTTTACCTGAAAGTGGAAAATTCCAGCATAGTCTTGCCCAAATCCCTGATCGGATGGTACGACACGAGCCAAAACGTCTTCATTAAGGGTCAGAGAGGCGATGGCTGCTAAGAGCCAGCAATCACCTGCAGAAAGAAAGCATAGTTGATGTTAAGGATATTAAAAGAATGAATTAACAACTGCAAGGCGATTATAAATGTTAATTTTAATAAAACTGAGACGGTAAAAGGGCTAAATGTTGAATGCTTGAGGCCAGTACTTCTTGTACACGTTCACATGTAACATATAGCAGGGTAATTAATCAAATCATGCATGTTTTGCATAATTGTTCTTCTAGTAAACCTTCAGCATGTTTTCAGATGGAGCAGCATTTTAAAAAATGGTATTCAAAACAAATCCAATTTATTCAGACTATAATGGCATTGAGATAATCGTTCTGTGATAATGACAGCTGTTTATGTAGCTTCTCTATGAACTATGGCTCTGTGTGAAAATACCATATTTAATAACATGTTTTATCTCCAAACATATAACTTCAGCCGAATGTTTGAAATACAGTGCAGTGAATATATAAGTACACCCCTCACAAATCTATGTTTTAAATTCATATTTTTAATAGGAAGCTATACAATATATATTTGTGCATATACATCAGATTAGTCAGTACTGAAGCCAAATCTAGAGCTTATCTAACAAAAAAACGTACGATAACGGTCCAAAAACTAGTGCAGCCAAATTCATATGTTATAGAAAAATATTAAATACAAATTTAAAAGAGGAAAAATCAAGAGAAGCAAAAAATTTACAAATTTACTTCAAAATTTTGTTGGTATCATTCAGTTTCTAAATTTGTTTGGCGACCTAAATATCATTTTAATAAATATATATGTTTAACAAATCTGTTTTGTTTAAATGCACCAAAAAATATTGCCTATATTCACTGAAATTGATAAAAATATTCATTTACAATACGGGGTGTACTCAATTATGCTAAGCACTGTAAATGCATCATTGAAATGATTGGGTAGAATGATTATTTATGCTGAATCAATGAAGGGAGTAAAATTTTCTGTCTATAATGCAATGTTATGGAGATTTTCTGGGTTTCTTATGGAGTGGAGGAACTATGACTTCAATTTGTATGCAAAAACCTGAAAGCAAGTTAGCATTTTAGCAGTTACAGTTCCCTTGTCCCAAAATCAATGGGTTTTTTGAATGGGATTTTGGTTAAATTGCTTAAATAAGGTTTGTGGCTAACAAACTCAAGATACTTTAACGTTTTATTCTACCACATAAAACAAATCAGTTACATCACATTTGTTTTTAAATCGGTTATGCTTTTTTTAAAAGATGGTTGCTATCAAGTTACTAAATGGGACTACAGGCAGTGTTCATACTGTAGGTCATCCAGCTGAGCTGGTCTGGAGCGCAGCCCGTTTGCATTGGGCATTTGGATTTGTCTGTTATTTAAGTATTTTCATGAATAGTATTTTAAAGTTTGTAGTATTTTTCTAATTGGTAATAATTCATATTGTCTGTAGATAATTCCTTCACTTGTAAAGACCATCGAGACAGATTCATTTGTTGATCCTTTATAATTAAGCAATATTATGATGATACTCCTTACCAGTGCAGTCTGTCTCTTTCCTGCTCTCAGTAATGCAAATGTGTAAATAAATGTGTAAAAATACATACTAACTGTCATTTTAACGTAATCAGTTGATTTTCCGTTTTTTTTTTTTTCTTCATCTAAACACATTTAACTCTGTTATAACTGATATATTCACACTCCTCCTTAAAATGTATAGCATGTAACTGTATGGGCTGCTTTTCGCTGTACTTTGTGACAAAAAAAGAATATTGAGTGTTGTTCTCTATCCATGATGGAAATTGCAGGCATGTAGACCTGTCCCTTACGCCTCATTTCTGTCATCTGTGTTACTAAGGTAAGCGGGTTGTATGCACGCGAGCGATACACTTATGTAAATATGTCTTTGATAATACTATGTAGGCACATTTATGCATACAGTTTTAAAACTTTTACAGCAACCGTGAAGCAAAACAAAATGTATTTCCCATGTAAAAAACTATCCAAAAGGCACTTAGGTCTATGTGTTCTTGGATATTCATTAGTTTATAATATATAGCGTGGATTATAATATAATAATCTGAGTGAGTACATCTTTGTCATGGATCAAATTTCTAAAAATAAGCTTGAAAAGCTATCTGTAACAGGGTGGTGAAGACATCATCATTGGACACAACGTGCAAGTGTAATGAACTGTTTGAACACAGAGCTTATTATTTGCATTCTTCGAAAAGTCTATGAGAAAATCTTATAGGAATTTTATTTTCATGCTAGCAGCTGATTAGCCTAAAAGGTGAGGTCATAGTTCCTCCACTTTATTTGTGGGTGTTTAGCATTTCTGCATAAGAGCGCCCTCTGGCCTTCGGAGGATATTTACTAATGATCATCGAACTGTGCTTCTCTGTACAAGATATACCTGACAATTGCAGCTTTGCTCAACTGTTTTTGCAATTTCATTTTAATTAATTGCCCAGCCCTAACCTATGATGAAGTATTGGTGTAGTACTGAAGTTAGAAGTACTAAATAAAGGTATTATAACCAACTACAAACTAAATAGATGTCTATATGCAAGACTATTCATTCATTCATTTTCCTTTGGCTTAGTCCCTTTATTTATCAGGAGTCGCTACAGCAGAATGAACCGCCAACAAATCCAGCATATGTTTTACACAGCGGATGCCCTTCCAGCTGCAACCCAGTACTGGAAAAAATGTGAGACTATTGTCACACCTGTTGCAGTGCCCTAGTTTGGACACTTGAGGGCACTAGTTTGTTTTGTAGTTTCACTTCATTTCCCATAATCCTTTGTATTACTGATTGTGTTATGTTACAGCTGTTTTGTGTTTGTTAATTTAGTCCTGTCTTTATAAACCCTCTTGTCCTCTGTTTTAGTTGCCTTAGGATTTTGTTAGTTCTTCACGTCTGGTATGTTTGTTTGGTTATATAGTTTTTATATTACGATTATTCTTGGATTCCTGTTTGTGTTCGTTTTTGTTAGCACTTGTTAGCACTCCTACCCTGTCCTTGTATTTACCTGTTTTTGGATTTTTGCCAGTTACTTCGTCTGGTCATCTAGTTTTTTTATCTTGCTTCTAGTTCTGTGTAAGATTTGGAAATCTGTCTTTTTGGATACCTTTGTCTTTTTTGTTAATAAATTGCTGCACTTGGATTTTTGCATTTTGTGATCATTCCTCATTTCGTGACAACTATAGTTTAAATAAATCCATTTCTTTCTTAGCATGACACCTTGACATTACTTTTTGCATGAGGATTTATTTCATGCATCATAGACAACTTAGATTTTCTAGCTAGACTGCCTCCACATAGTCTCCTTAGATGATTTATATACAAGATAAGATTCATGCTTTGGCATTAAAACAAATAATACATTAAGGATGCAAAGTCATGAGCTAATGTGCTCGATCCAAAGACAATACAACTTGAAGACCTCAGTCTAATCTTGTAAACTACATAATTATTTTTTATTTCTTTTGTGTACCACAAAGCTTTTTTGGAATGACATAACAGTGCATAAATGATGATACTCTTTTCATGTTTGTGGTTAACTATCCCTTTAAGATTCCCAAACACTGAGATTCTATCCTCCAGTGGTTTGTTGAAGGCCTACACGATTTGTCTTGCCCAAAATCCTTAGCATTCCAGTCTTCACAAAGACAACTCAGTTTAGCTGGCTGCCTCTAAACAAACTGTCCTTCAAATTCCTCCCCAACATGTCAGCTGATAATGCTTCGAAATGCTTATAACTCACGGTTATGAAAAAAACACAGCTTCCTCTTCAGCTAATGATTCATCTTTCATTCAGTTGTGACAATATGTTCCTGATGATAGTATGATGTGCAACAACACTGAAAGTGCTACCATGGCAACAGTTCAAACCGACAGGCTAAAATGGGTGTTGCTTCAAATAGTATTTCTCATTACTAAAGAATGAATTGGTCTGAGTTCAAACTAGTGTATTTAATTTAATGCAATGACTTTCTAGAGGGTTTAACAAGACTACATGTATTACAGTAACACCTATGCAGATAACTCAACTATTAAAAATACACAGATATAACAATTTAAGCAAAATCTACAAAGAAAGAAGCACTTAATACTTATTTACACAATGTGTTCCTACTAGTAGCTAGTCAATGCAAAGTCAGATGTAAAATAATAGGCAGCCTTGTGAAGCAGAGGCTATCACATACTGTGTTATGCAATGTTCAAAAATCACACCCTTTATTATGAGCACAGACAGACGATTTCTCCATACGGCTCAACAGATTCATTGCAAAACTGGGAAAAACAAACAGAGGAGCTGAAAAGCAGTGGTGCAAAGACTTCTCTGATGTGTGTTTAACTAGTCTCTTTATTAGACAGCAGCGTAATTCACATACACTTAATACACAAACACACTTCACTGAACATGTACATATAGACCTATCTGCAACTTAACTATGTGTATATATAATAACTATACTTTAATTATTAGGGTGAGAAAGAATCTGTGGACATTTTTGATAATTCTGTGCAGAATTTTGTAAAAAAAATCTGCGGATTTATGCAGAAGGATATCAGGAGTATTGTAACTAAAAACTTAATATATTCAAAAAAAACAACAACAAATTATTTACTGTTTAAAATGCAAATCCAATTAGATCCACTTGTTTAGTAAACAAAGCAAGTTTCTCATATAATATATCTACTAAAAGACAGATATTACTTTACAAACTATATTGTAAATAAATCAAATGAACATGTTCATGTTAGTCAATAATATTTCTGAAATTACTCTAAAAACTGAATCAATATAAATGTACACACATAAAATGTAAAAAAGTGTATTTTTATGCTAAATTTCAAGTGTTTTTTCTACAATAAAAAAGTTTTTTAAAAAATTAAATAAATGTACACACATTTACACCACTAAATAAATAAACTTTGTGGAATTCTTTGGATTTCTCCCTGAACAGATTCTGTGTGAGCCTAATTAGTTACTAGTTAATTAGTTAAAGTTATTAGCAATTAATAAAGTTATGGTAACTGATACCTGATACTGATACCATTTTGATTGTAATGCAATAATGTGTAAAGCTGCTTTGAAATAATAATTATTGTGAAAAGCGCTATACAAATAAGCCTGAATTGAATTCAATTATGAGAGCATGCAAACTTGCATGAGTAGACCGGGATACTCACAGACTTTTGGGTGTGCTTCCTAAAATGTTTCCACATGTTTAAAGGGGATTTCAATTCAAAAATCAATTCAAGAAATCTTTAAATATTGCAATATCGCACATTCCTGGTCATTCATGATAAGGAACACCTTATTGACTTTTAAATCTGTCAGAATTGCACAGAGCTGTGTATCGTTTACTCACCTAAAGCTCCTTGGCAAATATCTGTTCTTGTAGCTCCTCCGACTATGAACTCCGGACTGGAAGTCAATTGCTGCAAGAAGAGTGTAAACACATTAAGCAAGTTTATCCAAACTAAAATGCTCAATGGTGACCATTTACCTCTCACATACTCATGAGATGAGTCATGTGTGCAAATATATAGTGCTTTGAACATCACATTAGTAATACACACTGTAAAAAAAAATCCTGGTTGCCTTAAATTTTTAAGCTGAATCAAATTAACCTTATGAGTCCATTGAACTTATATTATGTTAAGCTGACTTAAAACAGCTCGCATAACTTATAAAATTAAGTTAGAACATGATTAACTTAGTTTAATAAGTTACACTGACCTAAAAACATATGTTGTCAGGACCAATTGATCATATATATTTTACAGTGCAGAGAAAATGAACATTTATTCACTTTACTCACAGTGTAAAAAAATTAACAACAAAAAAATCAAGACAACACATATTTGTATGTCGTTTTAACCTAATTTAATAAGTTATTCAAGTTTCAACACATTTTATTAAAGTTATACAAAGTTTAACTTCAAATTTTTACTCTGATTTTTACAAAACTTTTACTTTGATGTAAGTTAAGATGACTAGAAAATTCAATCTGATTGAACTAAAAATATTAGGACAGCAAGTTTTTTTGAGTTTCAAGGAACCTTTGAGTTTCTTCTGTTTTGTTATATTTAGAAAAAAGCTACAAATCTGTAACCATTGACATACATGGTAGGAATAACAAATTCTATGAAAGCAAATGGTTACAGATTTTCAGCTTATTATGTTCGTGTTCTACATAAGAAAGGCTCTCATAAAGATTTGACACAAGTAAATGGTGAGTAAAATTTGCCATTTCTGGTTGAACCATGCCTTCTTTATGCAACATAAATGAGCAAACAGTTAAATAGACAAAACAGCATTTAGATGTTGATTTAGACAGAAACTCACCCCTGGTCTTTTCCACTCAACACCTCTGGTTTTTGACGACCGTGGCCCGAGTTCATTAAAGCCCAGGGCCTCGGGAGCGGCTGGGAAAGCGGGATCACAGAAAAGCTCTCCGCGGCTCAGGCATTCACTCCTCAAAGTCTCGAAGCTCTGGTTCAGGTATTTCACGGCATTGGAGTTCGTCCCAAAGCCAGCCGCCAGGGCTCTCTTCTTGGCGAGTGTGGATGCCACGCCGGACATTTTCTAACTTTTTCTCTTCTGCAGCTGTAAAGTTTGACAGAAAAATGTTTCTGCTTGTTCGCCTTCACCCACTCCTCCTCCAAACACAGGCGTGGTCCTAAGCCTGTAATTAAAGGGCAACAAACAGTCTTTCGCTCTTTTGACTCAGAAACAGCTCAAAAGCGGAAAAGAAGTAGAAGACTGATGTTCTGAAGGCGTTTTTGACGCTCGTCTGTTGTTTTGCGCGTGTACACAGGAAGCGTCAGACTCATTACATTTTCAAAACCTCAGTGTAAACCTCAGCTCAGACAGCCTTGCTAGTGAGATAACTTAAACTGGGGTTCGTTTGACTGTTTTTCCTGGGTTTTTAAACATCTTTTTGCGTTCTAGTCTTTCCAAATGGGTTGGGTTTGTTCTGGTGACGGATTCTGACCTATTTAAAAATGAATGGGGGTTCTAATGGCTGTACAGTAAAATATTAAAAACATGTTTTGAGTACCGCTTGTCACCACTGTTTTATTACAAAAATTTTAACTGTTTGAACTAAAAAAACACATTGTTAATTATTGTTTAACTTCTACATCATTGTTGAACAACAAAACTTCAGTTTAAACCTCAGCCCAGACAGCCTGGCTAGTGAGAGGAGGGTTTGTTTTCAGTGGTTTTCAGCACATTTTTACTTTATAGTCATTTCAAGTGAGTTGGTTTGGTAAAAAAATAATCATGGTTTTATAAAAAAATTAATAACCATGTTTTTTTTCTGCATTGAACAAGGCTACCAATTGTATAAACACAGTTTTACTACAAACATCATGGTTAAACTTTTGCATTAAGAAACACTGTTCATTTTTGTTTAATTACATCAGTGTTTAACGAAAAACCCCATGCATTTATTTTTATTTGTAGTAAAAATGTAGCAGGCAAAATCCATCAAGTATTATTCAGCTTTAAAGCAAGCTTAAACTCCCAAATGAATACCTTAATATTTTACGTTGCATCCTTCTGTATGTTTGCATCACAGTTCCCATCTTCTCTTCTGTTCCAGTTCCTCGTCACAGAACTAGAGAGAGATTTTTATTTTCTCGGTGGACTGCTGCTGCCCTCTTGTGTTCTAAATATTAGACAGTCACATTATCATTGTGAAAATGATTATCTTTCGAGGGCCCTATTTCCATATGCAGCCTAAAATGTTAAAGACCCCAGTTTATAATTTTCTTACTCTGTACACAGTTAATATTATGATTGATTGGGTGTAAAGTATTAAATGCAAAATAATTTTTTACAGAAATTTATTTTAATGTTATATTTATGTTAACTCTAATTTGGACCGATGTTTTATAATTATTATAATACAGTTTTTGTATTTATTTGATTTTTCTCATTTATTTATTGATTCATGTATTTATTTATTTTTATCTTTATTCACATTCATATTTTTATGAATTCACAATTTCATGAATCATTTTAATTATTTTTTACATTTCCTCTATAGCACTTCTTTGCAGGCACCACAAGTTTGAAAATCCTTGCTTCAATTTTATTCTTTAATTTCATTAAACATATAATAATTTAAAAATGATATCACCGAATATTAAAACAACAACATTCCTAAGTATTTTTTGAGTATTGACTACCGTATGTTACCCCTTTTATTATAAATAAAAATAAATAAATAACAAAATCACAGTTAAACTGTTTGGCATAAGAAACATTATTTATCTATTTCAACATTATTCTTTAACAACATTTCACAGCCTATACCTCAGCTCAGACAGCCAGTGAGAAAACTTTTGAGCAAATACCAACAGTATGACTACAAATATCGGGGGTTAAACTGTTTTGCATAAGAAACATGAATAATTTTTGTTTAACTTTATCAATAACAAAAAAAAAAAACATGCGTTTTGTTTTATTTGTAAAATATGTAGCAGGCAAAATGTATTCTTCAGCATTAAAGCAAGATAAACTCCCAAATGAAATCCTGCATGAATCCTTTCTGTCAGGAAAATGAGGAAACTTTGACTCACATGTTTTTTACATGTATAATCTCACAAAGGTTTTGTTCAGATCTATATAATTACTTGAATAAATCCCAATCAACAAAACAAATCTTTAAATTGAAAGATATTATTTGTTATTATTCTAGTCCCAAGAATAAAAAAAAAAATATATATATATTTACATTTCCCAGAGATGGGTTGCGGCTGGAAGGGCATCCGCTGCGTAAAAACTTGCTGGATAAGTTTGCGGTTTATTCCGCTGTGGCGACCCCGGATTAATAAAGGGACTAAGCCGACAAGAAAAATAATGAATGAATGCATATATATTTATATAACTTTTTTATATTATATGCAAAAATTTTTATCCACAAATTTTTTTTTTCTTAAATCGTCTCCCTCATTTGCCCATTTTTAATTGAAATTGAGTCCTTGCTTAAAGCTATACGTCTATCTATAAAGAAAAAAATTCTGAAAGTTAATAGAAAGTTATGAAAATATCATGCTTCCAGTATGTTAGTAATTAATGCTCCCTGTGTTTTTTAATTTAATTTAATTTTGTGCTTCCATTTTCTTTATTTTGTTCTCTTTTTCTCTTATATTACTTTTTTTACTTATTGTTCTTATCATTTTGAAATTGTATATTCTTGTATTCCAGTCTTCTTCATTTCCTCTTTTCTAAATAAAGGTTTATTTAAAACAAACAAACAAATAAATAAATTCAGTTCATCATCACAGAAATAAAGATTTTTATTTTCTCGGTGGACTGCTGCTGCCCTCTTGTGGTAAAAAATGTCATACCAGCAGTGTATGATGTGAAAATGATCTTAGATGTATAAGATGTTTTGATTTTTAGATGTATAAAGTTAATATAATGATTTAGTGTAAAATATTATATGGAAAATACATTTTTTACCTAAATTTATTTAAATAACATTTGTATTATACATTTTAATCTGTTATATTTATTTGTTTATTCGTTTTAATTTATTTACGTTTATCTTAACTCTAATTAGGACCGATCTTATCTCTTACAATACTTTTAATACAGCTTTTGTATTTACTTGATAGTTCCTCATTTGTTTTTTCATGTATTTATTTATTTATTTTTATTCACCATAATACTTTTAAAATATATATTTTTTTACATTTTCTCTATAGGGCTCATCTTTGCAGGCCACAAAAGTTTGAAAATCCCTGCTTCAATTTTATTCTTTAATTGTATTAAACATATAATAGTTTAAAATTAGATTACTGACCATTAAAACAAGAGTATTTATAGATTAAGTCTTGATCCAAATAGGCTTTCAACTTTTATGCACTGTAAAATTAAATATTGTAATTTAAGTTTGGCCTATATTCTATAGGATAACAGTTAAAATTAAACACTGGCACATTAGAAAATATAAGGAATAATATTATAGTAATATACAGTACAAGCACTGACATTAATGTCTGCCAGAGAAAAAGTCAGGGGGGTCTGAATGCAGACCTGGTGCAGTGCAATATGAGCTGCCTCCCATGCTTTTTAATGCTCTCATCTAACCCCACCCCTAACCCTACCCCTCACATTGACATCACTAGCTCCATTAAGTGCATTGTCTGACATTGCATCACTGAGGTATGCAGTCTCAGCTTGCACCATAAGGGCTGCATCCAGATAGCCTATTGGAGAAAGTAGGCCTGTATCATCATGTGAGCAGCAAGCATTTAAAGTATTGAACTTGTGTAAAGAAACATTTTAATGGCATCTGATATTTTTCAATTGGAAAGTTGGAAGTCTTTAGTATTTATAGTTACGCCATTTGATCAATATCTCGCTCGTCCAAGCACCGCATTTCTCCATATTTCTGTTATTTTGAAGTTTGTCCAGCAGAGGGAAGTAGAGTCAAGCACGCTTTTTAATTGTTTTAATTTATTGAACCTTTAGTAATGTACAACACTATCACTACGTCTTTACATGAAAAACAGGTGCAAATAAAAAACAAATTACCTGCATAAATAATATGTTACATAAAATAATTATATGTAAAATAATACAGAACTAAATATAATAAATAAAAAGGATTAGGGGCTTTCCTGTAATATATACTTTTCTATAAAAGACAAGTTTAATTGCACTTTTTGTTTTTATTATCTTGAGGGATTTTATATAAAAGAATCTTATTATAAAAGGCAAAACATTGCTTACACCTTCAAATATTTTGTTTTATTTAAAATGTTCCAAGCATAAGGATGTTGTTGATTAGGAAGGCATCTTCTTTACTGTCCATTACAAGTCCATAAATGATGCCATACACAATAAAAAATGTCCTGAGTCGTGTGGAATCCCTATGGAGGACGAAACCTGCAAAAACAATAAATAAATAAACAAATAAATAAATATGCAAATGCGTAAATAAATGAGCAAATAAATCCATAAATTCCTACATAAATAAAATAATAAATAAATATGCAAATAAATAAAGGTATATAAAAATCCACAAATTCTTGCATAAAAAAAGTAAATAATTGTTAGTGCAGGCTGGTAAATAATTAAATATATTACACAAATGTTGGGGGAATAAGAAAATACCAAACTGAAATTTTTGCAGGTTTCGTTCTACGAGTAAAGCCATCATGACCATAATGCATGCACAAACATACAGTGAAAAAAACAAAATGATTTGTTGTTTCAATATCATCACAATACATACATTTATTAGACACAAATCAAACTCTTAAATAGATTAAATAATCCTACCTTGCCTGTTGGTGGAACCTAGATCAAGCACACATGCTGATGACAAGTAGCTTGAGTGTGGTATAGCCTCCCAAAACTTTGGTCAGATAATAAAACAAATTACTAATTCCAATTAAAGTAAATGAAAATTATTTTAAAAATTTGCATAGATATTATCCATGCAATGATTTTATTAGTGTGTTTAATTAAGGTTTTTCACCATTGAGATGTTTTTGTAAAATGGAGCCAGAGCCATATTTTTCAACTGCAGTCACACAAAATGGTTTTGGTCAGAAGTTTTGAAGTATATCATAACTGTGTCAATATAACTGAAAAAAGGGTTTATTTATGGATTGCAATTCTGGATTATTGGAGTTGGATAAAATAACAAAAATCCTTAAGTTATTTGGAAAGTACCACATTCACAAAACAACATGTATGCTGACTGTACCAAATTGTACTCTTTTTTATTGATCTAAAATCTTTTATGATTACTGACCTCAATACAGAGTAATCCTAAAGCTCTTAAGACATCCCACCTGCTGAACAAAACTAACACTTAATGTACATGATTGATTGTTGTTATTAATTCCCCTGTATACTGTACAATTCTCTACTCCCATATTTAATCAATAATAAAGGTAAATAAAACATAAAATTAGTTAAATACAAAAAAAAGAGTGTGGTAGCCTACATTGTTGGCAACTCTTCTCTCCATAAATATTTTTTTTTCATCTGACGTTTTAATCTGTTGCCTAAGATTGGTATTACTTCAACATCTGATCTTTTCAATGGTAATTTACATCAGAAATTTTTCATAAAATGTGTTTACAAAGGTATGGTATATTATATATCTTCTGTAGAAGTTTGAGTGGGATTGAACAACAGAAAACTGTTAAATAAGGGATAATTCAGTCGATCAGTCATGTGACATGTTAGATCCAATCGCTGTCGTTCTTATTTAATGTCGACGAACTAGGCGCCATTTTTGTTTGAGCAAAAGCACGTGGAAGTGAATGACGACGACTAGATTATTGGTTAAAAAGTTGGTATAAAGTTGTACATTTCAGCCCTGTTTTCAACAAGACTCAAGAAGTACTTTTTTTATGGCGCACATTTGTAGTTCGTTTTTACAAAAAAAAATCCACTTTTGTCAGTTAGAAGTCCGAGGTATAGAAGGCTTGCTGAAATAGCACGAAGGTAAGTATTTTACCGCTATTTTATAGCGAAGTCCACATGATGGCAGCAAAGAAATAGCAAAGGTGCAACTGGCCCAGCTGCGCTTCTTATGAAGAATAATTTTATCACATTTCAGTAGTATAAGACGTTAGAAGAATGTCAGTTTTATGATGCATACAGATTGTCAGTTACCGAGTCTGACTGTATGAGTGTTGTTGAATGTATTGTTTTTAATGTTACACTTTGTGCAGAGGAGAAAGTTTCAGACATGCTAACGGCCAGATCAGCGGATTCCCTAAAAATAAATTGTCAGCAAAATATAAACAGTAGAAGTACCAAAGGACACCCCAAACCCCAGTAGGACCCCCCCCCCCCCAAATAATAATAATAATAAATAATATTAAGTAAATAAATAAACAAGCAACGGCAGTACTTGGTTGCTTTAAAAGTTAAATAAAAGTGTTGCAAAAAACATTTTACCCAAAAATATTCTGCAAATTCTAAAATTGTTTGCTATTCATTTTTTTAAACAAATCTGTCTAAATGATTTACAAACAAAAAACGGCCCTCCCTTGTTACCATTATTAGTCTTAAACATAAAAAATATGCGACTTTACAAATAAAACACAAGAAAATGCAGTTTTTATCATCTTTGAGACATTTGACAAATGTCTTTAAAAGTCTCATGAGTTAAATTAATAGCTATCGAGATAAACATTTTGTTTTAATTTGATGAAAGTTTTATTTGTACATTAACTTTCACAGAATAAACCTAGATTTTAGCTTAATATCATTTATATGGCAAATGATAAATTAACACTTCACATGTGAACAGTTTATTGCAGACGGACGCAAAATGACATTCATAGATCATTTATAGTGATGTAAACAAACGGTCTTGACGTGTTTTAGTTTCCATATAGCTTCCGAGAACTATAGGTTATTTATATGGATAAATATAATGACATATGTTTCAACGTTGAGATATGACTGAATTACCTCTTATTACAGGTAAAATAGTTTGACAACAAGCAGGAAATGTTCATGGGCCAATGCATCACTACATAGAAATGGTCTATAGCATGCACTTTTTTTTCTTGCAGATAATGACACCCGACAATCCTGCTCAGTCATGCAGCATTCAACTTGTTTTAAACTTGAAACCGCAACATGATGATGCGCGTGCGAGAGAGAGAGGAAAGAGAGAGAGCATTGAGTGCGCGCACGCGGAGAACCAGCACTCTCTCAGCAGCAGAACTAGCGCGCGCGCTCGCTCGGTAGGTCGGTCGGTCGGTTGTCAAGAGCGCACGGACCGGACTGATCAGGAGGAGGCAGCAGGTAAGAGCTCTGACACTCTCACTTACTCTGGAAAACTGCTTACAAGTCTATATAAATGCCACTTTTATTGATAACTTTACTACATTGTCACATAGTTACCAAATTAGACTGTGACATTAAATTGACGCATGCTTTCAGTTGGTCATCATTTTTTCGTTTAATGTTCTATTAGATATTAACATTTATATTTAAACCTTTTGGACATTTATAAGTTATTTATTTTATTTTGCGTAGATGTAGCGCGTATCGGGTGGCTGTGCGCGCGCCTGCTGCGCGTGTCGTTATTTATTCATGTGTCATGAGAGCTCATGAGGGTGAACTAGCAGGGTTGCCATGAGCTCGTGAAGGGGTTTTACCCCCGGAAACTTATTGAAGACCAAATAAAACAGCGTGTCAGCGTTTAATGTGTTACCATGACTGATGGAGACGTTGATGAGAGAGGAATAGCTGGCGTGCCATAAGTGTCAATGGGAGTTTATAATGTGGTGGCAGGAGGTAATTGGTGATGCATGTTATCAGAATACATATGGACTTCCAGCTGGATCTCCTGTGCATGCATAAGTGCGCTACAGTCATCCACGCCAGTTTGCTTATTTGTTTATCCCTCATGCTATGATGTGGGTCTGGGATTACAACATATTATTATGTCTTAATTCAGAAACGGAGTTAAATGTTCTGTACTGAGCTGAATATAAGCTAGGATTGAAAGTTGAGCTATGGTAGTCTCAGAGCATTTGAAATTGTTCACCTTTTGGTTCCTTTGGCCCTGGTTGCACTTGTTCTGGTGAACTCTGTGAACTTATCGATTACAAAGATGTAGTGGGTCAATTCTAGGACTTGCCTCCCAACTTTTGATCAGTTTTGGGAACGCTGAAACAACTTTCATAGAAAAGTCATAAACTTTATCCAAAAACACGTGAGCAGCATTTTAAAGAAGGTCCATAACTGCTGTGGGAGAAGTCACCCTGAGTAAACGGCCAATATTTGATACACATATTGTGTTTAGTTTATTTTTAGGACCACAGAAATGCTGTCGGTGTCCATCAATGTCAAAACAGTGACTGAGATGACCAATTAAATGAGAAAAGGCAGAGCCCTGTATTGTACATAGGCACAAACATGAGCTCAATTTCAGCTTTTAATGATGAATGTCTATTATGTAAAATGTACTGTAAGTAGCTAAATGTTTTTATGCTACAATTGGGCATTCATTTGAAAACGTTGAATGAATTGTATTTGGGCTGCACAATATATCATTTTAGCATTGAAATCGCAATGTGCAAACCTGCAATAGTCACATTGCAGGATCTGCAATGCAAATTTCGAAATATAATTAACCAGGAACCACAGTTAAGTACACTTGATTTGGGAAGTCACAGTCCCTAACCCTAATTTAATAATGTGAAAGATCTTTATTTGGATGTTTATTTTATTTTATTTTATTGTAACATGTTTATTTAAAATTGTCAATTAATGTGCAATGTGCATTTACAGACATAATCAAAGCCAAGTTTTCCAAAAAAAAATGTGCAATAGGTTATAGAAATTATAGTAATCCTCAAAAATAAGAAAATAAATTTATAGATAGATGGAGGTAAGGAAAAAAAAGAAAAAAGTGTAACATCATACTATTTATAAGTACTATTAGGCAATATTGGTGACTAATTAGTCACAAAGTCTCTGGAAAGGCACATCAAATATATATTTTCCACATCACAGCACAGTCCTATTATATAGACATGTCATTTGAAAAAATACATTTAGATGTGTTTTTAAGGCCTGTGACTAATTTAAACCCAACAAGAAACACTAAAGCTTTCCACTTTAACCAAGATGAACTGTGTTTAATTATATTTATACAATGAAGACTGTACACATTGTTATTTTACGTTTGAATACTGGATTTCTATACCCAGTGTTACACTCCAGCAAAAACCATAAAGCACTGTTTATTTAATTTTTAAAAATCTATAAATCTATCTTTTATCTGTGCTTAAATTAGTGTTAAATTAGAAATTAGTGTTTCTAATGCAGCATCTATGGGGCTGAGAGTTAATTTGACGTTATTCTCTCCTCTGGCTGCTGTCATCAGTCCCACACAATTTTTACATTTTTTTGAAAGTCTTGATGACATCATAGTGGAGTTTTTCTTGTTTTATTTCATCAAATAGGATTGTAAAAAAATTGTTTGTTGTGCTCTCCGATTCACTACGCTTTAAGTTTACCCAAATATGACACCTTCCGCTACTGAGAAACCCGGAAATGTGAAAAGGGTCAGAATCCTGCAGCCCTAATTTGTATAGGATTTGCATAATTTTGAAATTAATGAGATCATAAACATTTTGCAGTTTAGTGCTTTATAAAAACGCACATATTCACACTTTCTTATAATTTAAAATCTAAATATTAATATATATATAATATGAGTTTAGCTTTATTTTTTTTAATAAAAATAATATTAAGATATTTTTGTGTTTTTAAAATAGCTTTTATTTTATTTATTTATACATTTTTGCCTTTAATGGCAGGTGAAGTGAAGCAATTTAAGAAAAAAGTCAACACTACAGGGTATATGCAGAAGTATGCAGAAGGACTTTTAATTTTTCAGTAACCTCGGTCAAGCGCTTCTGGCGAACTGTATGCTGTAATAAAATCAGCACACTTAAGGTCTGTTTTCTTTAAAAATTAACAGTCTTTACTGCCTGATTGATATACGATATAAAGTGAGTCTCAGATTGTTGAAAAAGCACTGCATTAAATTACATTCCTCCACCGCCATGTCTTTAAAATATGAACATTTATTTTACCCCGGTATATACAGTGGAGTTTCTGTGCTAACCTGGTAATCAAGCACGTGCTTGTAAGTGGCTTTTCATCTCGATTTACGAGTGAACAACTAATTGAAAGTTGAAGTCTATTTAACTGATTTTAATTACATTACAACATCGATGCTGTAAAAGGAACCGTATAAAACTGAAGTCACTTAGTCACATTAACTAATCATTCATTTATTAATTTTTTTGTCGGCTTAGTCCCTTTATTAATCCGCGGTCGCCACAGCGAAATGAACCGCCAACTTATCCAGCAAGTTTTTAGGCAGCGAATGCCCTTCCAGCCGCAATCCATCTCTGGGAAACATCCACACACACATTCACACACACACACTCATACACTACGAACAATTTAGCCTACCCAATTCACCTGTACCGCATGTCTTTGGACTGTGGGGGAAACCGGAGCACCCGGAGGAAACCCACGCGAAGGCAGGGAGAACATGCAAACTCCACACAGAAACGCCAACTGAGCCGAGGTTTGAACCAGCGACCTTCTTGCTGTGGGGCGACAACACTACCTACTGCGCCACTGCCTTGCCCATATTAACTGTTCACCAGAAGTGTATGGGAAGTGTGGGAAGAAACACTTGCTGTGCCCTATTCTCTCTCTCTCTCTCTCTCTCTCTCTCTCTCTCTCTCTCTATACACACACACACACACACACACACACACACAAACTTCTGTGACATTTCTGTATCCTTTATGTTATGCAAGTCATTAAAATCATTATCATGCCATTAGCTAAAGTTTGAAATAAGTAAAAAATAAAAATAATAAAAATGTATTTTTTGTGTTTTGTAGCATGTGAGAAGTGCTATTTGATAACTTGCATCAGCTCTGTCTTTTATGACTTCATTATTTTTCTTTTCGATTCAGATACAATTCCTTAACCTCAGATGCCTATATGTAGGAAGCTGACAGCAATACAGCTCACTTGCTTTTGGAACAGAGCCATTGTCCTTTTTATAGCTGTAGATATGAATTGAGTCTATAATGATTCAGGCTGGAGTGTTATGAAGGTTTGTCTGAATACTTAATGAGGACTGAATGACAGTTTATACATCAGAGTGACATCATCAGGACTTTGGTTACATTAGCTTTGTCGAAATAACAAAACAAAATGATGAATGCTTGGCGGAGGTGTGTTTGTGAGCGTGCACAAGTGTTTCTGTTTGATATAAAGTCTGCTGGCTCCTCTGCCACGCTTTCTCACTCAGCGTGTCTGTCACTCCTTTCAAATCCACTCTAAAAACGAGTGCAGAGGAAGAGAGAGAGAAAGAGAGGGAGAGGAATGATCATTTGAAATGAAGGCTCAGGATGGGACAGGTATTTTGAGTGACAGAATGAAATGAATGGCTGTATCAGAGAAGGAGAGGGGAATGAATTGCAGATACAGTGGCACTAAAGCTTACAAGAGTGAGGACGAGCAGATGAGGAAAATAAAAGAAGAATCTGGGAGTTTAAAATGGGAGAATTCTGATCCGTAAGCAGCCATGAATCCCACTTGTTTTACCTTTTGGATCTCTCGCTCTCTCTTTCTCAGCCATTTCTATCTGAGTGTCCCGTCTGTGTGAGGACATTAAATCAGGAGGGTCAGTCAGGCAGAACGCAGAGGTCAGAGGGACATAGAAAGAAGATGAGGGTGCCGAAGGAGAGGAGAGATGATTTTGGACAGGACCCTCCCATAAAGTTGAATGCATATTGTCTGTGTTCAGAACAGAATATGCACTGTATGCTGCAGAGGTGTATGCTTTAGCCATAGATTGCATGCTTCATGATATTCTTGACTTGTTTTAGAGTTGAACCCCCCAATTATGAGGGGTTTTACTGGAGCACAGATGTGCTTGTGACATGATGCCCTTATGAACATGAGTTGTTTATTCAGATGAATTGGTTGTGCAAATGTCTGCTCTGCTCATTTGCTTTATGATGGTAACAGACTTTGGGGCTGGCTGGAGCTGAAAGCCAACATGTAATCGTTCAACAGTGATAATTTTGTTAAGATTTATTACTTTATGCTTATGCTGTTTTTAACCCAGTATGACTTTTCTTTCTTTGGTGCTGCACAGAAATGAAATTAACCAACTAATTAAAAAAAAAAAGCTCAATCAATCAATCAATCAATCAATCAATCAATCAATCAATCAATCAATCAATCAATCAATC